TCTCGACAAAATGTATTTTTGTTATACTTTCTCCTCCGCCAAATATCATTAAATCATAGTACTTTGTGAATTTGCGAGAATTTACAAGAATTATCCCACATTAGGTCTAAATTGGAATTTCATTTTATTGCCTTGTACGACAATATCGCATCTACTCGCATGTAGTCCGGTCAGCGTGAAGAGGTGAAAGCAGATCGTATGGAATAATCCACAGAGAAGTCCCGTATAATAAAGAAGAAAAATAAAAAAACAACGATCTCTCGTAAACACGTGTGTTCTCCATGTATGACGCATTTGAAATTAAATCTGGATATCGGGTAAAATTAAGTCTTTATATTTATGGAGAACACACACTTAACGAGATTATATATCGAGACAATCAGCTATAATGTTATACAAATTTAATTTAAGTAATGAAATATTTTTTACAGAGTAAATTGCCAAATTGTAAAACAATAGGTTTTTTAAATAATCTTTATCATTAATATAATATATAGTATCCTTATAATGTATTATAAATATGCTTATGTCATCTAGAATCTAGAAGAACGATGCTAAATCCATTGTTACTCGAATGCATCGAGGAGAAACTGAATTTAACTATAACAGCCGTTGTAGATGATAGGCGAGAAAGTAACAGCAAACTTTTTTAAAAAACTTTCCACGTGAAAGTGCAAGTAAAGATGCTGTTTCTGCAATGATTATTCAATAAATTAATCACGTTATTCTAAGTCGTTCAATATCTTAAAATGTAAATTAAATGAATAAACTACTTATACGATAGAGATAATAAATTTAGATTAAAAAAGTTAAATGTTAGAATTTAAAAATTTGCGGTAAATAAAATAAGTTTATATACGCTATATATATATATAAATGTGTGTGTACATATATATTTTATTCAGCGTAATGGATAAAAATCGTGATATATCATAACAAATATCAAACAGATTACATTATATGGAAATTGACCAAGTCGCAATGAATATTTCTATAGTTGAAATTACTAGGATCTAACGACGCGCTTCGTCACACCGCTTTTTCACAATAAACGTGTAAATGTGCTAAGCCGATCCAACGGTGCATAACGCGTTCGTTGCAACAGTCCGCGATGAAGACCTGTCTGTCTACTCGGCCCTGTCAATTAAAGCCATGCCCATCCTCTTCCTGTTCGCTTTCTGTTAGCACGCGGCAACTTGACTCTCGCGAAACAATGTTATCGCATTTTCGGGTCGAATCACGTCTAACGGGAGCAAGGTGTGCCGTTTTCTAGGCGAAGCGCTCATTAATTAATTGTCTTAAAAATTCATAGACTAATCCCTTAAAATCAATAAATGTTCCTTTACATAATTATATACTGATTCTAGCGATCGTAAGATCGGTAACGCAAGTGCGTAATCATGTAACTTGCCCTTGACATAATTCTGGTCCTATTATTATTTCTTATTGTTACGTTATGAGAAATTTCTCAATGCGTAAGTAATTATTATAAGTGAGTGTGTAGACAAAATGATAGACAATTGCGGGAAAAATTAAATCAATGTATCTAAAAATTGTATTTACAATACTGTATAAAATAATTTATAAATGCATACAATGGAGCATTAAATTGTGAAATAAATGAAGAAATATTATATATGAGAGAAGAAAGAAATCATTATTATAAAAAGTAACAAATAATATAAGTGTGTATAAAATATATCAATATAAATGTAGAAAAAATTTAACGCTAAAAACATATAAGATATTTATATATAAATTTTAATTATGTGTTATATTTATATATATATATATATATATATATATATATATTTTAATTGTGTATTATAAAATACTTAATGAACAAACTGATCTTAATTATCACAAGTGTAAACAAATTTTATTTACATATATAATATTTATTCTTTCGCTTTAAACAGATTGCGCGAATAAACAAGAACTCATTATACAGGAAATAAAGCTTTTGCTAATGATAAGAATACTAATTGGATATAAAGATTTCCTTTTTTCTGCTTTTCATTTAATTGCAATGTATGTATATATATTATTTTTCACGTAAATATATATTATATACAATAAAATATTTATTAAGTTAGATACACGGCACACATACAATGCAAAAATAATATATTCATAATCTTTTTGTAAAAAAAAAAAGTTCATATTTTCTTCTGAAATAGATTGATTTTAAAAAATGGAAATAATCAGATTTTTATATAAGTCGAGAATTATGCATTTACAAAGATGCCCGGTGCTTGTATCTCTAAAAGCGAAAATTGCAATATTCGTCTTTTGACTTTCGAAAAATCATCAGAGTTAATAGGCGAATATATTTCGGTAAGAGGTAACACCGCGTAAACTCCGATTTAAATTTCGCGCGAGAACATAATTCGGAAGAAGTAATCACACTGAAACTAGTTGCAAATGAAACTAACTTCATGCTATTAGAAGAACATGATTTAGAAGAGGTTAATGTAAACTTTCAAAGTGGCGCGAATTTTAAAGTATATATTTCTAAATCAATAATAATTTATCAATAAATATAAGTGTGTACATTTTTGAGTTTTAAAGCTTTATTGTATAATGAATGTTCGTGTTACAAATATATTCATTCATTTATTATTAATATAAAACTATTGTGAAAACATTTTTCTGAAAAATATTTTATGAACGGATTTATATAAAGATATTTTAAATGTATAATTTTTAATTCAATTAACATAATTATTCTTAGTACAATAATTAATATAAATAATAGATTATTTATTTTTCTGCTTTCATTATCCAAAAAAAATGATTGACTATTAATTATCGGGCCGCTCTTTATCGTGAGAATTTGAGAAAGCGCACGCTGCCGATAAATCGGCATATTAACAGGCAACTATATTTCGATAAGAGGTTAAATGAACTGAAGTAAGCTGCCAACGCAGATTTCAAGATGTGAATTTCCAAGCTTTGATACGCTGGCTCGATATTAGATTAGCATGATTTCACAAGAGGTATACTTGGTAGCCATGAATTTGGCGCGAACTTTCAAAATACACTGCAGCAATATCATATAAAATATATTACTGCGATTAGAATTCTTTATTATAAAATACATATATCTTTAAAAAAAATACAAAATTTAGACATTTATTTATCAGTTGCACACTCGATAAAATTATTACATTTAATAATAATATGTATACAGTCAATAATTTCTTTAAAAATGTTGAAAAAAGATATTACAAAAATGTTAAAAAATTATTAAAAAATTCAAAATCAAAGGAAATAATGGATATTGATAAGGTTTGTCACGAAAACTCTTTATTCGTGATAAAATTGTCTTAACTAACTACTTTTATTACACCTAGAGAATAAAAATAAGATGAAAGTATATATGTGTGAAAATGTATGTATGCATATGAAATGTATGTATGTGAAAATGTGTGTGTGTATATACAATCACAAATAAAAATATCCGTAATATACATTTTTGATAAATCCTATCAAGTTTTAAAACTTGTCTGTCGATAATTTTGTAACTTCCGACGTACAAATTATATATTATATACGAACTTTTCTGTGTATGTGACATTATATATACATTGTTACATAATATACATTGACGACTATGGTTCAAAGTGATCTAATTAATGCATTGTACAAAAAATAATTGCACTAATAAACTGTAAATATTTTTGAAATATGTGCAACATATATTGATAAATTCATTGAATAATAGTTCTGATTGCTATTATTATTCCGCTTACAACAATCCATCACATATATGAAAATATATTTCTACAAAATATCTGGGTAAAATTTTTCAATAAACAATTTTTTTTTAAATTCAATTATTTAATAATAAATGGAAAAAAAGAATATAATAAAGAATAAGAATATAATAAAATACACGAATTTGAAAATTATAAAAGACATTAAATGACATTTTTTACTTAAATTTTCTTGCATGCTCATTATACTTCAATTTTATTATAATTTTAATTAATTTTTTTGTTTCTGAAATGAACGTATTCAAAATTCTTATACATGCAAGTTAATGTTAGAAAAAAACGAAGTTATAAAAGTTATGACATAACAAAAAATGATTTGGAAATGCATGTGAACATAAATTCTTACAATTTGTTTGTAAAGTCTTAAAAGTAGATAAAATTTATTTATTGTTCTAATGAATTAAGAGTAGATGTTGCACGTTTTACTATTTTGAAAAAATATGAATGTATTTTGGAATTTTTATATTACAACTATTATACAATGTTTACTTATTTAAACGATGGCAGAGACATATGTATAATCATCTTTTAATTAATACATCCTCTAATCCATTAAGAATTTTAAGTAAAAATATTTAGTAACTTGTGTCCAATATGTTATGTTTAAACCATACTCTTGTTATATTTCATTATATTTGATTGTGCTAAAAATTAGTTTAGTTACATACCATTATAACTTGAAAATTCTTAATGTAATTATGGTATCACAAAAAATAGAATTTTTAACTAATTAGCAGCATATTTTTCTATTAAACTCCATTTTCAATAAGATAATCGAAAACTTTTTAGATGTAAAAATAATGATAAAGTAGAAGGTTCTAATATTGAATATCCACAAGTGGATTAAAGAGATATACAAATTCTTTCGTTTCAAGTATCATTTATTGTGTGTCATTACCTTTTATATTTAATTCTCATATAATTCGTTTTTTTAAATAGTGAAAAAAATAAAAATTATAGTAAAATATAAATATATTAATGAAAAAAATTTAAGGAAAAAAATATCATTTAACATTATATTAAATTTGTTAAGTGTGATGTGCAATTTTACTTGTATTTTGTCATACATTTTCTCTTTTTTTCATTTAATAATCTATTTTTATATGTGTATTTTCAGCCTCAAAAGAGAGAGAGAGAGTATTACAAAATTCCATTAATATAATTTTCTACTACTAACTAGAATTTGAATTATAGTCATCAATGTATATTATTTATTGTACGTAATAAATGAGATTTGAAAGGAAAGAATTTTCGCATCGGTTCCGATTCACTTAGTTGATTTCCCTTTTGTAAAGAATATTATAAAATTAATAGCGTGATTATTATTTTAATTAAAATTGAGAAAACATATCATATTGGACACGCCATATATCTCAGCCATACACTAAAAACGATTTCTTTGTAATAATGTTCACAGCCATTTTCTGCATTTCGAAGATATTAATTTAACTTTTATCTTACATTCTACTACTTAAACAATACAATTATCTAATTATGCATTATTTCCTATATCTTATGTAACAATATAAGAGATAATTTATAGTAGAGAATATAGAGAAAACGAGAGAGAGCTATGAAAAAAGATTGTATCATGCATTACATTAGAATATGATACGATACAACCATTATTCTTTGTATCTCTCTCTTACTCCTTTCTCTTCCTCGTTCTCTATTACAAATTACTTTACATTGTTAAAAGGATAAATTATTCTTGAAAAACGAATCGTTCCTGCCAAACTTTAGAGCGATGTTTACTTGTCAAAATTGGATTAAGGACAGCCGCGATGGAATTTATACGTCCTTTAAATCTTTCGTTATCCCGTGCCATTTCTTCCCATTGACCTTTCCGAGCTGCTCGATATGCGTAATTCCATGTTATCATGACGTGTACGATTGGAGTCGGAGCAAAACTCACCTGAAATAGAAATCAAACTCTAAAATTTGTTGTCAATATATGTATAATTTGCATCTAAATAAGACTCTGAAGAAATATCTTATATACAATATCAATCAATTGCCTAATTTATTTAACACAGTCAATTCTAAATTAACTCAAGTTGGATTCTTATAGTTAATTCTTAAACTTACTTGTCAACTATTGTATACAGTCGTATTGATAAGAGATAAAAATATAATTAAAAATTCTCTAATTAAATATCAATCAACTTTAATTATGACATCAAAGAAAAACAATGACAAGAAAATTTGTACAAATAATTTCTGCAATATACATAATGCATGTCACCAATAAAATTGCTTTAACAAAAAAATTTTAATAGTCTCTATTATTAATTAATCATTTTACAGTAAACAAAAATATTTTTGACATCGCAGTCCAAGATGGTGAGTGTAACAATTAAAAACTCTTAATTACCTTCTTCATTTGTATTTTATTTATTGATTCCTCGCTGTCTTCATTATTTTCAATTGTTGATTCGTCTTCTATTAAGCTGTTTAATGCTGTGGGGGTGCTCGTTTTAATATAATCAAAATTATCGGTTGTGCAATTCTCTTCTAATTTAGTGTTGAATACTATGCAGAAATTATCTTCAGTATCTTCGTTATCTTCGGAATTTTCTGAAAATTGTAACGAATCTTCGTGCATATATAGCTTGCTATTATAATCCTTGAAATAATCGTTGATTTTTGTCGAAAAATTAGATACATCATGTATTCCGATCGGATCTTCTGCTCCTTCTTTGGACGATTCATCGTTGCTGGTTTCAAAAACTACAAAACTATCTTCAGAATCGGCGGAAGAACTCTCCGACAATAAACGCGATCGTAATGTATTCTTTTGTATATTAGATGTTTTACTATTAGAATCCTTGTGGTAACTGTTAATCTTTGTTAGAGGATCAACTACATAACGTACTCTTGGATATTTCACTTCTTGATTCTTCGGAGATTCGTTTTCGAAAATTATAAAACTATCATCAGAATCGACAGAAGACTCCGATAAAAACCGCCCTCGGAATGAATTGTTATGTGTATCATATTTTTAGTGCTACAATCCTCGTTGGTCTTCATCCAAAACTCAATAGTATCATATCCACTCGTATATTCCTCCACTTCCGAATCGACAGAAGTCGCTTGCAATTGACATAAATTTTTCTCTATATCAGACGTTTCACAGTCTTTAGTACTCTTTGTCGAAGAATCGACATAACGCATTCTAGTCGGATGTTTCACTATTTCCTGGTTCTTAGGCATCTGTGGTTTTCGTTTCGTAGGCGTTACATCGGAAGAACTTAATATTACAGGACTAGTCCGTTTCATAAAGAGAGCACCATCTGGAACATCGTAACCATCTACATCGTCCAAGTTAGCAGATTTATCATTCAATGTAGGTTTTGTATAATATTGTATCTCGTCGTTTTCATAAAGCTCGTAATCCAGTTTAATGATCATAGTGAGATCGTGCTTTGTGCGTTCCTTCCGATGTCTAGTTTGACTCACTCCAGAACGTCTGAGTTGACATCTTGCTCTACCACGACCTCTGCCCATTGCAATGGCGTTGGCCCTTCTTCGGCAGAATCGCTTTGATAAATATGACGGTCGCTTGACAGACATTTCTGAATTCATAGAATTCATTTTAAAATCGTAAAATCGATTAGTCAGACGGTTCCAAACGTCTTGACATATGACGGACCAACGTGCCGATATTGGAGTTGTCTTGATTGGTTGTACAAGTTCAGGTACATCCGAATGAGATACTATAAAAAAAGACTTTGCGTCTATGTTAATATCAACGTCATTCGAGATAAATTCCTTGTCCATATCTGAGGTGTCTTTATCGGTATCTGTAGATTTTTGTAAAGAAATTTCTGTAGGACAAGAATTATTACTTATATTATTTAACTTTTCGTTCTCATGAACGTTCGACACAGAATGAGATTCTATTGTGCTTTCATCTTTACCCACGACAGAGTTCATTATATTTATATGTGTAAAATTTTCTATGATTAGATCTTCGTCGTGCATTTTGTTAATATCGCCAAAGTCGAAGGACAATATATTCGGGCGATCGACTTTGATAGACGGATCGACTCTTGTAACGGGTTGCAGCAGCATAGTTTTATAAATAAGCTTGTTTATGCGTCGTTTAATATCAATAGACGTTTCCTCTTGCATGCTCGATTTTTCCATTAACTCAGACGCAGGTCTTATTAGATCATCATTTACGAGTGTTACAGACAATGGATTACTCATTCTCGATAAAAACATAGATGGTCTTCTTAAAAAATTTCCACCAGTGTACCGATTCCAAACAGATTGGATGAAATTTTTTCCTCTCATAAATGACGCATTGTTTATTCCATATGAAACATAGTTTGTAGTATGTATTCTTTCCATTGTGTCTGCAGAATGTGTCTCTTGTATATTGGATTCAATGGAAGAGACTGCTGATAAACACAAGGCAAAATTTCTAGATAAATCTAGATGCCGAGATCCAAGATGCACATAAATCCCTAGTGTACTCTTATTCACCAAATTAGTATTCCACCACTACTTCTCCGTCTTCTTACAAAGCGTCTGTATGCTAAAAAATATACACATTGATTAGAAAAGAAAATAAAAACATATATATTTATAAATTAAAAAAATTATTAGAAAGAGTAAAATATAATTGATAGTAATAATAATAAAATAATATAAAAATATAAAAAAATTAATTATTGTTTTATCTCTTAAAAAATGTTATTTATAGTAAAATTATTATAATCAATAATGTGCCCCAAAAACTTTACAATTTTTAAATAATTTATTAAAAATTGACTTATTTCATACCCATTTTATATTTCATTGTTAGATGTCTATAGCATTTGCATTATATAGCGCATGGATTAACAATCATATATTTGAGTGAAAACTTTTACTAACAATTTATTTACATATAAGATAAGCATACACAGATACACATATTTGTTTTATATATAGATATATTTATAGTATTAAGCACCTCTCTCACCTCTCGCACTTTCAACATATACAAAAAAATCTAAGTTATAGATATAAAATATTTTTGCCTATTTTTTGTTTCTAAAGAAGCGACAAAGAGCGAACCCTTGAGGCGTTAGAACCTTTTTTGGAATGGTATGTTAGAATGCAATTTTACAACTGTTATAAATATGCTTTCTGCAATCATGGAGAGACCTTTGTTCAGTGTCTCCCATTGTGAGATGCGAGCGGTCATTCGATTTTTGACGGCAAAAAAAATAACAGTAAAAGTCCCCATCAATTAACAGAAGTTTTATGGAAAAAATGTATGAGCATTCAAATGATTTATCATTGGCGCTCAAGATTTTTGGAAGGATGCACAGATGTGTATGACAAAAAAACGGAAGAAGAGCCTGTTATTGGTACCAGTAATACGGAAATTGGCGATGAATATTCGTTCACTTTCATTTTTTACAGTCAAAAATCAGATTACCCGCATCTCGCAGTCAAACATGCTAAGCAAAGGTCTCTTTTTAATTACATTGAGACCGCTGTAAAACTTCTTCACCAAACCTTTCCAATGTTTCCAACAACAAAACAAAAATGTCTTTGTCCTAAGGATACTCATTGTCGTAATAAGATAGTATTACGAGTTGTTATAATTATTCATATTATATTATTGTTTTGATCATTCACACTATTATAAAAAGTCTCTATAGCAAAATCTCTTTTTTAGTATTTCTAATTTAGCTAAATAATGAGTTTAAATGATTAGTAGATTAGAAATATTATGTTAAAACATTCCGAAGAAAAAAAATCTAAAAAATACATTAGCAACAGATAACAATATTAAAAAAATTAAAAAAACAATAACAAAAGCTTCTCCTTCAATACATTCCAATATAGTTCTATTTTTTTCTTTTGTTTAAGTTTTTGAATTTAAAATATCACCGCATCTGTTACTAACGACTTTTGGATTGCTTATTTTTTCCTATTTCATCATCTTTTTTGAGTTAATCTATCTATTAGTCATAAATTTTCGCCTAAGTTATCATTTAGCTTAAATAAAAGTAAAACAGAGGAATTTGGCCGCTTTTTATATACTTGTAATATGAGTACATGCGCACTATATATAACATGCACGTGTATTCATTATTCATCCAAAAGATGGATCTGTATTTACATTTATATTTCTTAAAATAAGAAATTTATATCAGTAACCAATTATATCAGTATTCAATTAATTAAAAATAATAAATTACAATATTATATATAATATACACACACACGCATATGCATGAATACTTACGAGATATACAGTGCTTGCTGGCGTGACGAACGTGATCACGCAATAGATATCGTTCACAGCACGACGGCAAATTCTTCGTAAAATCACGATCTTTGGGAGTAAATAAAATGTTGTTTAAATCCTTATTTGCTGTCGTAATAATTCGTGTCGGTTTCGCAGCAGCGTCGAGAATCTCTATCGTAGACGGATACATTTTTGCAACAGACATTTTGACGAGTACTTTAAGTGGCCATCTTCAACTATAGAATGGACCTTTTGAGGCGTAGTACATACGTAGTACATTCGAGGGAGGGAAACTCGCGCATGCGCAAACTCAGGGATGACGATAGACGAGGCGCTCTTGGGTCCTAAAAGATGCAAAACCAATCGCGAAAATATTCAATTAAAATTCAATTACAGTTGAATATTTTTTTAAAATTTGCTCTATTATTTACGAATAAATTTCCTAATATCTTTTTTGAAAATCTAAATACGCATGATGTGTACATATTTAAAAATTTATACGGGGGCCCGAAGCGCCTTCTATATAAGCACGTGCCTGTCAAAGCTGTCACGTGACCACCGATTAGGGTTAGGTTAGGTCGTGGAAATTCAAGCGACTTCTAGAAAGTGATTCACGCGATTGCGCGAATCTACTTTAACCTTACAACACAATGCGCATTCGCATAGATGTATATTATTGTTTGTAAACAATAAAAATACGTTGAAAAATCGTTAAAATCCATTAAAAGAGTATTAAATGTTTCCCTGAGATTTATATTTCGAAGTCACTCCTATATGTAATAATTCGCGATTGATAAAGTTATTAATTTTAATTATCGATAACAGACTATATATACATATATATATATATATATATATATATATATATATATATATATATATACACAGTTTGTTATCGATAATTAAAATTAATAATTATATATATATATATATGACGATGAGAAATGTTCTACTTTTTATTCTTAATTATATAACAATAGATCTAATGAGGTTCCGCGGCTTCCTGCTAATGATTCTATCGTGTCGACAATTTGCGAGTCAGATTCGATTTTTGCGGTCAGAATATAAATAGAACGATACCGATACGATAAATATATACATGTACAGTGCATGCAAAAGTCTTAAAGTTTTCGCTGTTTAACATTTTTACAATGTCTTAAAATCGCATTGAATCTATTTGATATTTAACAATAATCTTTTGCACGTGTCATTTGCAAATTATATCGCTCACATTAAAATATATATATATATATATATATATATATATACATTTTTCATTCTACAACTGATTTCAACAAAATTATTTCGAGCATGACATATGTTATAGAATATAATATTTATCTTTTAGACCTTGAGGCGATAAAATATATCTTTAGTAGAATATCTTCTAAAACATATATCTGTATATGATAAAAGAATGCGTAAGAATTTATATACTGTATAGGACAAAAAAAATGCGTATTTGTTCTGTATAGGACAAAAGTATTTATACGCATTCTTTTGTTCTATACACAGAACAAATATATAAAAGAATAAACATAAATCTATATTAATTACGAAAATAAGTCAATATGCATTATCGTTTTGTAATTTACTCTGTGTATGAATCAACTATAATATATATACCGCGAGATAATTATATGCATGTTTCACAGATGCATATGTACACACACGCAATATACATATTTCTATCATGAGCGTTCAACGATAAGTCGCATTAGGCTGAGGAATGTGGATTATTTGTATAGCGTTACAGTTTACATGCTTTAATCTGAGCTGATAACTTTTATCACTTTCCATGATTGAAGTGACACAATATATTGGTATTTAAAAAAGCTAAGAAATCTTGAAAAAAAAAATTTTATCTATTATATATTATAACAAAATAACTTGGTTCTTGTAAAAAAAAAAAAGATGAGTATGCAGAAAATGATAGAAATAATTCTAAATAACTCTCGCAATGGAATGAAATACATTCTAAAAATAGCTGGTAGATTCCACACGTGTCATCAAATTTACTTATTCATAACAATTAGCAATGATGCATATACGTATGATGAAATATTCGTGGGGATTGTATCATGTAAAAGACAATATATGCATGTAGAATATTTACATTCGTTATACCACAAAATATATTCGCGTCGAGAAAAAGCGAACATATCTAGTTTTACACGCGCAATAAGATTATTTCATCATCTTTCATTATTTTGTCATCATTCTAATGCTAATGCTTTTTCCTTTATACCAATAATTTCACTTATTCAGGGTCAAGTTTAATTTTCCTCCTCGTAAGACCTTCGTTCTTTGGTCTTTATCTTCATTACACGCGCGCATACATTCACTAATATAATTACTATTAATGATTCTGTTTTGTGTATCAATTTGAACAATGTTAATAATCTATTGTGTGGAAATCGTAATAATAACATGCTTACATTACAAAGTGAAAGAATGAAAAAAACTATCAGTTCATTTTACGAAAAATCGAAAATAAAACACGCTGGAACAAAATTTCAATGACATCAACTTTTCTAATTGTTTTTTATAAATTTGTTGTAAAAATAATTAGAAGTTATCTCTTCTTTTTTTATATTTTAAAATATCTAATATTATGTATATAATAGTAACAAATAAAAAATTTTCATTAAGTCACAATTTAAATTTAAATTGTCTCATATTGTCGATCAATTATGTAAATTTTTCTTATTATAAATGTTGATTTCTATAGTTTCTTTGGTTACCGCAATTCAAATTGTAACGATGGATAAATGGATTTTGGATAGTTGTCCTTTTGTTGTACTTACAAAGGATCAGCGAATGTAATAGCATAGCATTTAATTTTATTGCGAATATTTTACATTCCGCGAATCTTTCTATCGAACAAAAGTGAACAGAAGTAAATTTACACATATAATCTTACTATCTTCATTTACATCCACATCCATCATACAGAGATGACACAAGACTATCGTAATAGACTATCGAGACGACTCAAAGATACTGCACACCAATACCGAATTGAAATTGTTGGAGCACGTCACTCCTTACGAACAACAGTGGTGCAATTAAATTCAATTCTATACGGGCTACATTTCCTAGTTTCATTGCGATTCCTCCACCGATCGCACAGCGAACGTTCTCTGTGAAAATCTTCATGTTTTCATTATAGAAATTTCCTGAAAGTTTAAAATATATATAAATAGTTATATATTAAATTATAATAAATAATACATTAAAATACGAAATTAATAAGTAATTAATGAACTGAGTAGTGAGAAAATAGTATAATACTTCTAAGTAAAATATCGAAATGGATACAAAAAACAAATAAAAATGCATGAGTATTAATTATGCAATTATCAATAAATTTTTCTACTTTTTATTCCAGTAAATTTCATTGCTTTACGTCGAAAAAATTAAGATTATTATTTAATTATTAATTAATTATTTTAGCAAGTCTTTGCAAGCAAATCAATCTTTGAAAACTTTCGAGTTTTTTTCATGGTAAAAACAAAAATCTATGTATAATTATCGAATCACTCTTACCATACGTAAAAGTGAAGTTAGACAGATTGCCACCATTGATAAAACCGTGTAGCCTAAACAAATTTCCGAAACTATTACGACCAGGTCTGAATGGAAGCGGCGTATATACATGAAGAGCTGCTGCCCAGTACATCTCACCGCCCACGGAATTTCCGTTGGAACGCGGTCCACATCCTCTCATATCGAATCCTCGAACATTCAACGGACCACCCAAGAAGAAATGATCGGCGATGCTTATCTTCATATCGTTACTGATTGCACTCAACAGTCCGGATTGAAGGCCAAGTTGGAATGTCTATTCAAAGATAGAAAATTTTCTATAAATTAATTGTATCTCTGTTTTTTCTCTCTCTTTACCTCGTCTTATTACATTTTTATATAAATTAATTCTGACATAACTTATTACAATCGCTATAAAATGTTTTCAAGTGACAAATATTCTGCAAGAAATAGTACGATAAGTAAAAACTTACAAGAAACTCATGCGGTGACCAGTTACTTTGCATCATGAGCTCGTTCTTTAAGAAACCTATGTCACCACCTAATCCAGCCATCTCTGTTGTTAATCGCAAAAGACTTCCACTAATGGGAAATATAGCCGAGTCTCTTTTATCTATTGTCCAAATATGTCTTAACGCGGATTTCAAATTCGGTCCACACTGTTCCCGAACACGAAAGGCCGCTTGTTTCGAACAAGTTATATTTCTAAATGCAGCTTCATACTGTATATTATGTTTAGAAGTGCCTGTTTGATTGAGCTCCATATCGAAAAGTAATCCCTTATCATTTTGTTTGAAACCAGACCATGGGAAATCGTGTGTCGTGCTAAATACAGTACCAGTTAATCTATAAAGAATTAATCAAAATTAATATAATAAACTTAATGCATTAAAATTATGCAAATAGATAAATGTCCCAACTTACACTGCATTGTATAAGCTCTGCGGAAACGGTTTAATGGCAGATACATTGAAATTGATCGAACTTCTGTTGCCATGAGAATACTCCATTTGAACACGTTCTGCTCTGCCAAATATATTTGGCGCTCTTGCGCTGATAATCAGGGATCCTTCATTGTTCCCAACCATCGTGCTAATACCACCAACCAAACGTCTCATTTCACGTACCATAAAAGTGACCTAATGGCAAATACAACCTAATGAACATTATAAATAAATATACATTGTCACGTGTGATATACAGTCACAACAAACTGCATTTAAAATGTTTGTGATAACAAAATACGTTTAAAGCTGGAAAATTACTTAGTGTTTGTTGAATTAATGTGTAATTATATAGACCCACTTCTACACCATCAGGGGTGGCTTCAGGACCTTGACTGACGTCAATGTGAACTCCAATCTGTCTGAAGCATCCCAAAGCATCTAATTTCTCTCGTACTTTAGAAGCACGTACTATAACATCCTCGAAATTTGTAGCCTTAAACAAGTCCATCACTTGTGGCTTGATTATATCGTCTTTCGTTCGCATAAGTCCGTCCACGTGTATTTTGTCGACTCGTGCCTGCCATGATAAAAAAATTTTCAAAATTTTTGAATTAAAAATTTGATAACTATTTTAGAAAATTTACATACTTTAACTGTATGTAAAACAATACATTTTGATTGTACATTTTCTTCTTCCCTATGTATCCGAGTTTTGTTATTGAGAAAGGATGGCTGCAAGAAAAAAGATAGAACTTTAACATAAATTTATATCTAATCACAATAATTAACAATTTAAAAATATTTTGATAGAACAACATTAAAAATATACTAGATTATAATGTAATATATATAATGTAGTATATATTATATTACATAATATATATAAAGTAATATAATAAATTACTAGATTATGACACATGTAATATAAAAATACTAGACTATAATGTAATATGTAATATAAACTGCAAACATACAAAATCTCCCACTGGTGATTCATCATGTTTACTCGCATTATCCTTAGATGACTGATCTAAGCCTGACGGATTAAAGGGTTCCTGGAAAAAAATATTGACTCATTAGATCACACAGATATTCCTTAATTAGAAATATATGAATTACATGAAATTTGCTGCGATATTAATTGTTATTCCTTAAAAGTCGAGTAAAAATTAAAATTATTTATGTCAGTATATTATTAGAGATTACTCATTTCCAAGAATCACATGAGATTTTTAGGTTATGCCGTAACTTCTAATAATAAATAGTTACATACCTTAGCGTGGACAGTACCCATTTTATTTCATCGATGAACTTTTCTTTCGTGATTGTCGTATTAAAATTTTATTCCAAAATCAGTGTTGTGATGTTTTCACGATGATAAAATGTTAGAGGAAATTTATAATTTAAATGTTGAATACAAAAAGAAATCGAACACACACGCAATCGTGCGGCACAAATAGTGCCATCACTTGTGCGATCGCGGCACTAAATCAAATTACAGCACGCGGTAACATGTATCTCTTATACAAGGTGTTTAGACAATAATAAAGCACATAAAAAAAATATAAACAGCTAAAAAGATATATTTCTAAGAATCCTATGGTATATAAAAATTAAATCAACATCAGAGCTAATATATAATAATTTTTATTACACTTTCTTTTGTTTAAGCCTAAATTGAATATATATATATTTATAATTTTTAATGTGTAAATTTAAAATGTTCTCATAATATATAACAATAAGATGTGTTAGAAGATCTTACATTTGTATATAAGATATTCTATATAGAAGACACTTATATTAATAAATCTACTAATAATAATGCTCTATATAATTACTTAAACAGATCTAAGAAATTCTTCTCAAAATATAGTTTATATAGTCTTTATAAGAAAAATTTGCATTTTTTCTGTCATACAAAAATATGTGTATAATTTTAAAATATATTTCACATTATGCAATGCTAAACTTAATCATTGCTTATATAAAATGTCTTCTAATATCATATCCAATGATTTATTTTACATAATGTTATAATTTTTCATCATTTCATATCTAGTCGGCAATTGGAGGATTGTTGATTTTATTTTTATTAAAAGAGCAGTAAATCATTAAATATGAAACATCTTATATAACTTTCTTTTTCTTCCTCTTTCTTGTCATATATTACACATCTCTTGTAACAAACTTTTTTGTGGTTCAAAATAACTGAAAAATATAAATCTAAAAATTGCTAATAATTATAGTTGATATTAAATATTTAAAACTCTGGCTATAACAATAATAGACATATCATGTTGCATAATATCATGTCAAAAATTCACTCTAACAGTTGTAATAAACATGTGTATATCATAAATTCTATAATAATTCAATCTTAATTCTCTAGTAAAGTTTATAAAATTTATAAGAGACTCATCTCTCTTTGTCATTAAAAATATAGCATACATTTTATATGGCATCTATTAGAATTAAAATGTTAAAGGTATTTATATAGAATAGTGTGTGGCTCATTAAAAATATACTTTCAAAAATAATATCTTTCTTTGATCAAATTTCAAAGATTGTTTCACGACTAGCGAAAAATCACGATCATTCTTAGACTCTTGATGCAAAGAATTTGTCGTTTTTGCATTAAATTTTACATTTAAATCTATTCATACAGTTATATAAAAACAATAGACAAATTTTATAATTTTTTGTCTAGAATTTTAAAAGTCATAATAATGACTATTTTATTTAAAAAAATTATATAGAAGAGAGAATAATATATGTCTAGTCATTAATATTTTGACAGAAACGACATACTTTTTGCACTGATCCAATAATTATCAAGAAATTATGCAAAAAATTATACCCGTATATGGATTCAATTTGACGAATTTTCTTGGTATTTATCAAACTGCGGCAGGGCTAATACGTGGAGTTCTATCAGCTGGGAGATAGGACTTCCATGGACCTCTAAATCAAGCTCGGAAGTCGATAGACAATCTCTCATAACTCTATTCCATCTGTCGGCACTTTCGTTGGCAATTACGTATGTTCGCGTGTTCCTTGGTTCTACATCATCAGTCTCGGGCCTCTCGTTACGAGCACGTAATGCCTCTTGATGTATGATAATCTCATTAGTGAGATAAACTTCGCGACGTATTTTGTCGCGTAATTTCGGGCTTATATCAGGAATACACCACCGTACAAGAATCATCACGAATGCCACGACATTCTGCAAAATACACACAAATATATTGCGATAATAGTAGTTACATATAAAACAGCTCAATAAATATGTGATATCTTCTTCATTTATTAAATTAAAAAAGATGAATCGATATGAAATGTGCAAGAAACTGAAACATTAGCATATATTTCAATAAAGAAAAACATCGTACCTCAAAAACGACGATAAAAGCTAATCTAGCCGCTAGTATATGCCAAAACATTATGGTATAAGCATACTTGTTTGGCGAGTCTGGTGCTTCTCTGTAATCTGAATAGCGACAAATTTCGACTGGGCCTTGACCTAATGACGCCATAGGTTCAGTGCCATTTTTTAGATCACTAGTATTAAATTTTGACAGAGAATGTTCCAGGAAACCTTCTAATGAATAATTGTCAGAAACTGTTATACGATAAACTAGTCTTGGTATAAAGTTTGAAGTAAAAGCTATGATGAATGCCTAAAAAACAAAAATAATTATGTTAAAAAAATAGTTAACATTATTATATTAAAACATAATTTTATGTCTAATAAATAATAATGATTAAATTTAATGTCTAAAAATAAACATTATTAAATCCCAATCTCTATTTCCTTGAATAAAAAATTTAAACTTACATTAGTAATAACAGATAATTTGGAAATAGAATCGAGAATGCGGTACCATATGCCAATATCTCTCACGCGCTGTCCGACCGGTCTTCTGTACATGGTCAACAACTTTTTCGCATCCAATCTCATTTCGAAAACATTATTCAATAGTGCAAAGAACGGTGCCAGTGGAAATGCAGCGACAAAAATTGTAACAAATCCATATTGTAGCACTTTAAAAAAAATTTAGAAATTCCATCATATATGATGTATATATAACAAAATATACATTAATTATTTATTGCTTTGTTGGTATAATATATAGTGTTTCATATACTTACCCATTTCTAAATATTCGGGAAAAAGACTTCTAGGTCCCCATTCAACTAATTTATAATCTCTGATCCACTGCAAATACTTTCTAGATGAATATCTCTTACTGTGATCTTTCAATGTTTTTGAACCTACATGAACTTTCAAAGTATTCATCCATTTATAAAATAGTGGAAAGAGCATTTCCAAGATAGTATTCATAGCTTGCTTGCCAATCATAATAATGCTCAGTTGGATACATAATTCTAAAAGGCAACCACCTGGTCCGCATTCTTCTTGTCGAAAGTTAAAAAAACGATTATAATTTCCTGGATAGCCAATAAACTTTCCTTTAAAGAATGCTATATAAAATATGGAAGCATAATAATTTACAAATTCCAATAAGTAAATTTTTAGAGTTAGACTGTCATCAAATTCGGTCTGAGTACGAAGCAGTTCAAGCTGAAAAAAATAATAAATGTAAAGTTTTTATTTATTAAAAAGACAAAACATCTTTATTTTCAAAATAGATTCTATAACACATTAGTTTCTATTTTTCAAAAAATTTTAATTAAAATTATAATCATTTTTTTTTTTTAATTACTGTCTTGAAAACTATCTTTTGGAAACTCAATATAGAATAAAAATAATTTTATTTTATTAAAATTTTTTCAATAATTGATAAGTAAATAAAATATAGTTTGGAGAATATTTCAGTGTTATTTTTTTACATAAATAAACTATCATAAAAATATATATATATATTACCTCTGTCAAATATTCTGCCAGCCAAACATATAACCAATTGAATAAAATGATACAACAGAGATTAATAGTTGCAGCAGTAGCAGTAGTAAACAATATAGCATAACTGGTTACCATAGGATGCCCATAAACACTTAATGCAGTTAAAACAGACATTCTGTACAGGACTACTCCAAGTACAGCAGCCATGGCTACAACTATCTGTAAAATTATAATATATACATAGCACACAAGAATGTGTTACTCTTTATCCTCTTTTAATATAAGAAAAGCAATTCCACATACCAAAAGTAGAACAACTGAAAAACTGAGAATTGTGGCAGGAAATCTCATCTTCCAGTATGAGACTTTTGGCTCTTCCGTATTTGTAACAATATTAACAGATCTTTTTTTAATATGCGCAAGCCGTGCTAAGTACTGTGGCCTAGGATATTCTTCTTGAGCATCTAAACCAGTCAAATCCCATCGATGGGTTATTTCTGCAGAATATTTTTTCCATAATTCAAGGAATAATGTGGCTATAAAAATGACAATGCTATATTATACATAAAGTTGTAAAATATAATAAAATATAAAGTCATATATATAATTATTTAATAATGTATTAATTAGCAAATGATCAATAATTGTAGCATACCCCATAATGACATAAATATAGAAAAAAACACAGTCGACGGGTTGTCAAACAAATATGTAATTCTTGCGTGTAAACATGTCTCCTTGAGATTCCAATAGCCACAAAAATAATCACATAATGGACACATTTCAATAGTACCATTGTGGTTACAAATATCTTCACTTGGATCATTGTTATACAAAGTAACACAACTGTATATAAAACATAGGAGACCAACAATACTAGCTGGAATTAACATATGAGTGTAGAATCCCAACCAAGCAAAGTAAAGTCCAATCTTCACTCCAAAATACTCTTTAATATAATCTAAAGGTTGATAATGAAGGCATTTTCTTAAACTGGCCCATTCGTTATACAAAAGATAGCGCATTGAACCAGCAGATTGTAGATGTCCCTTTGAAATAAAAATATTATATTTATTTAAAATATATCAAATATAAGATATCTTATCTATATTCTCATTTAAAATATTTTTAATTTACACACACAAGTAAAGATTAAAAATAAAAAAATATAACTTACATCATGAAGCGGATAATCTGCGACATATGCATGCTCAGATATCAATCTTTCGATGCCAAATGCGAAATCATCATCCTTGGTTTCTGTGAATTTAGTTCTGTCCAATATTAACTGTACAATACGCGATCGAGTAGCCGATGTGAAAAAATTGGGCGAATTCAGATCGAATAAGTATTCTTTGTCTCTGCTATATACCGCTGTAAATTTTTGTCTCATTGTCGGAAAAATAGTTGTGTTAACGTAATATTTGCTCATAATTCGTCGAACAAAAGTATTAACTTCTTTGATAATAGAATTGCTGCTTGTTAAAGGCATTTGACAGCCGGGTAAATCCTTCATTGGCAATCGTAATTTTAATATTTCGGCATATCGTCGCAAAACTTCTTTGGGTGCATGAATTTTTATGAAATGCAAACCATTTGTTTCCACCTGTTCATATTCTAATTCTAATCCTTCTTTTTCCAGATTTATTTCAAATACCTGAGATATAAGTAAATACATGATGAGTTTTTACAATATAATAAAATTGACACACGTTTTTCAAAGAATAATTTGAATTTACCCTTCTGCGTTCAACATTGCGATAGGTTTGTGCTTCTCCATTATACTCATCCCACACAAGTATAAAGTCGACTGAGCGAATTTCGTCACGAAAATATAAACTATATTTTGTACCAGAATGAGAAAGCTGAAATGCACAATTATTACATTAATACTTTATAAATAAACATACATGTATAACAATAAAATTCAACAAGAATCTATCTAATCAGTCTCCAATTGCAATTACAAAACTAAGTATAAGCAATTTATTATTTGTTGAATTAAATATTATCATAAACACAGTCTGCAATTATACTTCAAATAATAATTAATAAAATAATAAATAAAAGACATCTTATATATAGATTGTAAAATTTAAAAAATTCTTACCAATCTTGAGTCTTGTATACTATTTCTTGTATCTGTACAGCTATTATTTATAACTGTTTCGTTTGTATCATTATTTATGGTAGATGAATCATCTGAAGGATGAAAATTCTCCAGAGAGACAGCACTGTGCATACTGTTCATGCTTATTGCGTCTTCATACAGAGTATTACGAATGCTTTGATACAATGTTTGTTCTGAACCTTGATTTAAACCGTTTTGGACTGAATGATATATGCTTAATCCAGGAATACTGCTTGTTCGTGGTTGTGTGCATGTAAGAGAAATCTCTTCATCATCCTCTTCCATTTTTCAATGAAAATTCATTGAATGTCAAGCCCTTTTTTAAACCAAACAATATGTACATACATCATGCAAACCCAAAAAAATGGTTTCAAAGTATTACATAATCCAAAAGCATAGCAAGACATTTCTATTGCTAGTTTCATATATCATATATCAAAATTAATACTTTAAAATCATGGAACTGAATGCAACAGGTGAAAATTTGTAACCAAGAAAGCTTTCATATTTTCATAATTTTACACAGCACAATTTTCATTTTGTTTTCATTTTCACATATATTTAAAATGTAATGCAAAAATAAGCTCATAAATTATAAATAAATCCCAGAATATGCTTTTTTTCTGCTAGTCAAAAGCTAACCAAAACGCAACATGCTTTGAACGTCATATTCATAAAAAAGACAATTACATAAGCCTGCTAAAATAGCTCATTGTTCAAAATTATGCTTTTTTTAATTAACAATGTTATTAACGAGATAATATTATAACCTTACCTAATACTGTCCTCGCGTCCATTTATCGAATGATTCTATATCCTTGGAAGACTTTCGAGCGTGTTCTCTCGAATTATTTTTATTATATGCATTACCATATCATTAACATAATTTTAAAAAATTATAATAACATATTAGTAGTTAAAATTAGTGTTCGCTACGTGATTCCACACTGGCTCGCACTTTGAACACATGAACATGCCGCGTCATAGCAGAATGATAACTATGGGTGCGTTCCGTTATGCACTCAGTGTTGTTAGACGGGCTAGGTTTTTTCGCGCATGCGCGTATTACCGTGACGTAACCATGACGACTACAGTAACGTATGATGTTTGCGCGCGCAACTACGGACCAAGACCCTGGACCACGGAGTTTTGGCGGAATCGCAGGAAACAGATAAATTGAACGTACGTAAAAATAAATAAATTATTACAATATATGTAATATAAAAGTGTATTATTATAATTTATGTATATTAAAATTAATCAATAATTCAAATTATAAATTGTATAAATAAAAACTAAACTCGTAATTTACGTATGTTATAACATAGGTACACGTATATGTATATATTTTATAATTTCATTATTTGTTTATTGTATGTTTATATTTAACATTTTTAATTAAATTTATTACATTTATAATAAAAATTATACGATTCATTAATTATTTTAAAAAATTTTCAATAATTTAAGAAAAATTAAACAGAGGGGGAAATCAGGACCCCATTTCATGCGAGTGACTACTTCATTAATATTACATTCAATGCGCATGCGCGAAAAAACCTAGCCCGTCTAACAACACTGTATGCACTGCAAGTACTGGCACTATGACGTCATGCAAGTGTACTGTTGACAGCGTTCCTTTTTAATTTTGTGCACTTTGAAGCTACTGCAAAATAGTAAAACGGAACGCACTACAGTACGCTTTCAGCAGACTTTTAACTAACCTTTTTCGCTAATAATCATCGAGTGAAAAATTGGTGAAATGGATAATACCATTATAGCATTAATTACATATAATTTAATCGAGAATATATATGATTCGAGTGAGTCATCAAGTGAAAGCGATTTGGAAATGGAATTAATAAATGAAATGAGACGACAAATTAAAATACCTAGAATAAAATGTAAAAATTACGTTAAAAATATTGTATCATTATATTCAGATATGGAATTTAAAAGTTAGTTCCATCGTACACATGGAGGTAGCCATCTTGATTACTGCGAGTGCTTTACCTCGCCGGTTGCAGTAATCGCAACAGAAAATAACGTCAAAATTAATGACGTCATATACTCATGATAGTACTTTCGCAGTGCACTGCTATCTATATCGGAACGCTATTGGTAGTACTGTCAGTACTTGCAGTGCATAACGGAACGCACCCTATATATATGTCACTATACATTTCCTTTTAAAAACCTGCAGGATCAGGTGACTCAACAGTTAAATAATTACAAATCTATTTTTCGATCTTATTCTATTTCGACGAAAATATAAAGTGTTGTTTTTTAATAATTTACAAAATGTGTTATCTAAAAAAATCAATATTAGCAATTTTAATAAACAATTTTAATCGTGACTGATTAAATTATACATCCTGCATATATACATTAAGAATGTATATGTATATAACACTAACCGGAAGTTAATTTCCGCGAACATATTGTTATCGAAGATAACATTTTATTTGAATATCTTATACTCTATTTTATTCTAATTTTATTTTATAAAAGTTTATTAAAATTCATGTATACTTCTATTAATTTTTAATGTTTTTATCAATTTGGGTCAAGCACATATATATAATAACATATACCTCTTTACATAATAAAATTTTTATATAAAAATATATTAAATCTTAAATAAAAAAAAATATATATAAATTATATAAAAAATTAATAAGTTTTATACAAGAAATGTATACATTCTATTCACTAACTGTGCCTATTGGTTCATGTATTTTTTTAATATAAATGTAATATCATTTTTAATATAAATATAATATCAATATATATATATAATAAAATAATTAATGATATTTAGAAATATATATATAGTTTACATAAATAAATATATTTTTTATAATTCTTCCATAATTAAAAAAAGAACAAACTAATCTTTAAATTTTCGTTTTTAATAAAATATTATTTGTAAATTATCATACTTCTTGCATAACTAATGTGTTGAGTTCTTCCTCTGCTGGATATAACACCGCATCAATATTATAAAAGGCAGCATGTAATGTTACTAAAAACCAAGAGACTCCTGAAAAAAAAGTTGCTTGTGTATATATAATGCATTTTACATGTAAAAATATATTGCTAAGATCCATTTTACTTACCAAGTACCCAAAACACAGCTGCATGTGCACCAACCAGATAAAATACAGGCAGTGAACAAATTGCAACTAAAGAATATACCTGTGCTAGTGTTAGTTTATGATTTAATATTGTTAACTCTTGTTTCGAATGTCGCTGAGAAAGTTTATAACATATTCCAAGAGAAGCAACAACTGTCAGCAATAACAGAGGTGAGGTGATTCTAAAATTGTACATTCAATTATATATTGAGGGATAACAATATTCATAAATAAAAAATTATATCTCTATACAGGTTATACTAAAGATTAATATATAAAAATATCACTTACAAACAATATATGACTAGTCCAATAAACACAAATAGATAATTGCTCTGGAAGTATTCAATATTCTTTACAACTCGTTTACTCAATCTCGTTAAATTGGGTGGTGGTCTGATATTATTTGTGTTAAGAAATAACGACCACGGTCGAATATTGGCTTTCCTGTGTTCAATCCAGTCGTGAGCTTGAGGATAACCTATTTGACCAAGTGGTAGTTGGGGTAATTGCAGAAATTCAAATCTGTAAAATACAAATAAAGAAATTAATTATTTAATTGTGCGTAACATAATAAATCCGATTTAAACAGCAACAGACTCTTACTACTTGATTTTATATACAGCTACATATGTATATAGTTTTTAACAGCTTATCTAACATTAAAATATATTTATGTAATATATTATTATAAAATATTATATTTATAAATATATATTTGTATAATATATTGTTGCCATGTTGCAATGAACAAGTAAATAAACAACGCTCTACATGATTTGACATACGATGTTGGTGCATACTGTGAGTTTACAAGTTAGTTAAATCATATTAAATCTCGAAAGAATTTGCATATTGAAACGTTACCCATTCGTAGTCTTATGCTTTTCTATCGAGACCTGCATATCTCCCACTGGAATCTCTACATGCGCCATGATTTCCTATGAAATACGTAAATGATTACTCGTTGCAAGATTATACTTCCGTTCTCTATAACACGCGATTTTTCCTCTTTATTTACACTCTTTGTTCTCTTATGTAGATATATATTTCGTTTTAAATACAGAAAATACAAGAATAAGATGTAACGTGTACAAACATATTTGACATTTAGCTAGATCGATACTGTCAGACCTTTATTTGTCATTATTGTCAGTTTTCGTCAAATTATATTCAGTCACTCGAAGAATTTCTTTATTTACGCAAGCTGGATCAAAAACTCACCGAAACTCGTAATAGAATTTCCTTTCATTTATCAGCAAAAATTACTGAAGACATAGGTCATCAACTCGGTGACATTCGATGCGGAAGTGATATGCAAAGCGATCCTCTATATCTACTGTCGATAATTTATTCCAAACGAGTCAAGTTATCAACAGTAGATAAAATAGATCGAGCCTCGCGTTTTTTAAATTTATCGACATTTTGACTCCTCGATGATCCCCAATCGATGATATTGAAGACGACCTTCTATATATATTGCTGACAACAGGCCTCCGAAATTCCAAGGACGTGATAGACGTGGAAGAGCTTGGAGAAGAAAAATACATCATTCGTCATCCACAAATCCTGCATCCGAGACGCGATTTCCTGGACATGCGAGCAGAGAAATAGATATGGTTTAGCTTTTTATCAATTATTGAAGGCTATGTATATAGGTACAAAGAGCTTTCTTTTTATTGTAAAAAATACCAATTTCAACAGACATTTCAGACATATTTATCTGAATTTATATTTAATATAATATAATTAATTGTACTCGATTTTTACATAAAAATTCTATTCATTAATTTGTAGGATTAATGACATTTTTATTCATATATTACATTATATATATGCGATATATATATATATATATATATATATATATATATATATATATATATATATAGTAAATAATATATTATTGGTTATCTTTCTTCTACTTCCAGGGGGAGGAATGAGATAGGAAGATACAAAGGAGAGAGAAAGAGAAGAGACACAAAGGAGAGACATCTTCGTCATTCGGCCCTGCCTTCGGCCTTTTTCGGCTATAACCAGATTGCAGCTGTTCGAAGAAAGTTCTTATATGCGCAGTGTAAAACAAGAGAAGGTGTTCTTTGTTCGGGAAAAAGGAAAAGGCTCCTACGCGTTAACCGTGTAATATCGGGGTATGTATGTATCAGGGAACATATATGCCGCAAAAATCCATCTCGTCGTTTTCTCTTTTTTATCTCCGGTGAGATTATCCGCCCATCGTAGCCTCGATCTTCGGGCAACGCAAAGAGATGAAATAGTCGGCGGCAGATGTTCGCTCTCGTCTTAAACAGCTGCCGCCGATATATATATATATATATATTTTTTTTTCTGCACAATATCCTTTGATATATTTGGGCAATAATTTTTTATCGCTATTAACCTATATCGTTAATCGCGATAAATTGTACTTGTATTTTTTATACATTATAGTTTTTATAAATAATTCTATATAATAACTATTATATAGCTATATATTATTAAAAAGATATATAAAAAAACGCGTGTAAAGAAAACTTTATTACATATCAAAATAGATCTCTCGATACGAAAATCGTTTTACGAGTAAAGACAGTTTAAATACTAAGGTAGTGAAAGTATTTCGATGGATATATACACACATATACATATATATATTTTTTGGGGTGCACGTAGCGTGTGTAATCTAAAACGACGGAGAGTTCAAAATGCAGTCCCGAGTAACGAGATTTGAAATAGATTGACTAGGAGAAACAGGAGGAGGCGGGGGAGAAAAATCATTTTAATTAATCCTTTTTTTTCTGTTTTAGTATTCTCGCTTAGAATCCAGCCAAAAAAGGGTAAATCTTGAGAAATAAGTACACATATACACGAACGGCCGGTAACGTAGTAGGAGCAGATGACGGTGAGCATTGTGAGCGGAGCGCGGCCAATGGGCGCACGCGTCACAGGAGGGACGATGACGTATGGCGATCTAAGCCGCGCGCTGATTGGTCGGGAGACGCTCATCGCCGGGTGCCGTAACGAACGCGAGAGAAGCGTGGAGCGTGCGGAGTGAATTCACACAGTTTGAATGAGTGCGGTCGCGAGCGCGTGGTGCGAGACTGACAGCGTGTGGTGATCCATTTTTTTTAATTTTTCTCCATTTTTTCGTCTACCTACTGGCGGGTGACTCTCGACGGAGCCTTACTTAGGTCGCGCGCGACCTCACCTCCTTTCGTCCGCGTGTGCGCGTGCTTCCGTCGACGATGATTCCCCGCGTCGCGATGAAGGCCACGCAGAAGCTGCACTACGACGCGTGCGACATGCAGAACGAGGAGCTGAGTTGGAGCTGCCGCGCCGACAATTCCGACTGCGACGTCGGCAACTCCTCCACGGATGACTTCGGTACTCCGCCCCCGCTGCAGCCGAGGAAGCTCTTCGAGACGATGGATTGCACCGACGAGAGCCAGACGAATAACAACAGGATTTCTCCTTCAAAAGGTTAGAATCGTTCTACCCCCTTGTACTACCCCCTTAGTGTTGCCTCCTGTTGCATGCTCCTGTTGCTCTGATGTTTGTTTGCGAGTTTAAATTTCTATGTGTATGTTGTAGATTTATGTAAAATTACAAGTTTTTGTATTTTTCCTTTTGCAACTCGCACAGTTTTTTAGTTTAATAAAGAAAAAAGACATTGGTCTAAACAATAAATGTGCTATTACACTTTTAATTTTGCGTAAAGATATCAATTTGATTAAAATAAATTGTAATGAAAATTATTCAGAATCTGTGCAGAATATAACATTTTGTGTTGACATCTATATGTACTGGTAAATTTGAATAAACATAAATCAATGTAGTGTTCCTGCGAATTAGGTTTATCTTCTTGTTGCATGTATCAATATACTTAAATGACACAATTCAAAGAAATGTTACAATATCCATTATGCTTGTTGGAATTTACTTAATATATGACCTTTTGGACATCAACATAAGATATTTATATTTTGCATAGATTCTGGAAAAACATTGCATATAAGAAAGTTATAACGTGTAATGCATGATGTGAGATAATTGATAGCAATACATTTAGACAATTTTTCTGCGTCATGCATAATTGTTTTTTAATCTTATTTTTGTGAAAGTATGATCATAAATTAAATGACATTATTATTTTCGTTTTTTTTAGATTAGAATTGTAACATCAGTAATTATAAAATCTGTGTACTGATGATTATACAATTACAAATATATTATATATATTTGTTATCAAAAATATTTATACACATAGAGTTTAACATTTATAAGTTGAGAAAATTTTTATTAATAATATTTAAATAATTATGCTTTTAAAAAAAGAAAGAAGAATAAAGAGATAACTATATATATTTTATTAAACAATATTTTTTATATTTTATGTTGAATATCTGTTTATTCTAATTTTTTAGCATATAATGTATATATACATTATATTTTGTTTATTGAATGTGTACATAACTTATCTTTTATGTTATCTAAATAAATTATTTATTACATTACACATTACAGAATGAATAATGTAAGTCATGTTATTAAAATATAATTATATACTCTATAAATTTTTATTAAGTAGCTATTCTGATTCATTAAATTTTATATGTATTATATAAAATGTTATATATTTTCAAACATTTTTTTTCTCACATATTATTCATCTCTTTATTGTTTTTTCCAATTGTCTGTGAAACAAATATTTATAAGAAAATTATTCTCAATTTTTACATAATTGTACATAAAGTATTTGTATGATAATTTTAAAGATTTATGCTAAAATGTTTAATTTATAGTTACTCCAGCCATCAAGATTCCTGTCGTCACTCATAAAAATGATGGTTTTGAGAAGACATGTAGTCCACCCTACAAATGTGTTAGGGCCTTACGCTTATTTGATTCGCCTACTACTCCTAAAACTATGATAGAGAAGAATATAGTGATGCAGACTCCGATTCCATCTAAATGTACCAGACTTTTTTCTTTGGACAAACCTAGGCCTTCTAAGATAAGTCCTGGTTATCAAACTAAGTCAGACAAACCTGTGGCAAATGTAAATCCATTTACACCTACTGGCATGTTAATAACAGCAAAGAAAAGAAGCAGATCGAAACGTAGTCTCAATGGGTAAGTGACTGTTTATTTAATTTTATTTTTAAATTCTTAATTATACAATATAACATGTCAAGAATATTAACAATGACTCGAATCATAGATTACGGACCGATTTTTCCAACTTCTCGGTGTAAGTTTTACCTGACAGGTAGCATATCTTCGTTTCTTTTCAGATAAGTTCTAAAAAAAGAGGCAAAGATATGCTATTTATTAGATAAAACCAAGAGTTGGAACAATCGGTCCTACAAATTTCTATCTTATTAAGTACAGACACATCTCAGAAAAATTCTTTTGGTTTTTTTATATAACTATTATTTATTTCTCTCTATATAATCTATTTCTTATATCAATCATAATGTCTAGCAACACAATTAAAAGAACGTTTACTATTCACAGACTACGGAATGAATATTCCCACCATATTATATATGACTATGCATCTATGAAGATATTTAAATTTGAGATTTGAGTGTTAACATTATTTAAAATATAAAAATTCTAAAATATAAAGATAATAAAGCTTTTGTTTTATAAAAAAGAATCTATTTCGTATTCTTAAGAAAGCATAATAGAACATATTTACATTATTTCTCTTTCTCTTTTCAAATAGTAGTAGTGGTAGCTCACCGGACATGCAAAAACCAAAGTTCGATCTCGCCGATTCCGAGGATTCGGACTACGAATACGAGCACGCGACAAAGCGTGTGGCGCTGCAGGACTCGAATATATCGCGATATTACAAAGAATTCCACGAACTCGGTCTGATCGGGAGCGGCTCGTTCGGCTCCGTGTACAAGTGTATCAATCGGTTGGATGGGTGTACATATGCCGTTAAGAGGAGCCGTAAACCGATCGCGGGCGTCGTCAGCGAGTCCAACGCATTAAACGAGGTCTATGCTCACGCGGTGCTCGGCAAGCATCAACACGTGGTGCGCTACTATTCCGCATGGGCAGAGGACAATCATATGATCATCCAGAACGAGTACTGCAACGGCGGCAGTCTCGCGGACGCGATCGCCAATCTTCAGAAAGAGAAGAAGCAATTTAGCAAGGCGGAGATGCGTCAGCTGCTGTTGCACGTAGCCGAAGGATTAAAGTACATACATAGTATGCAGCTGGTGCACATGGATATCAAACCCGCGAATATATTTATCTCCAAAGAGGGAAAATTGCCATCGAACAATTACGATTCCACTGACGACGGCTTCGACGAGGATGAAGCTGTCGATGAAATCACGTACAAGATTGGTGACCTCGGTCATGTCACTTCTATCAATAATCCGTCGACGATTACGCATGTGGAAGAGGGCGATTGCAGATATCTGCCGTTGGAAGTTCTACAGGACGACTACAGCCATCTACCAAAGGCCGATATCTTCGCTTTAGGATTGACTGTTTATGAAGCAGGCGGCGCCGGACCTATGCCGAAGAATGGGCTTGAATGGCAAAGATTGCGAGAAGGAAATATACCAGATCTACCGCATTATGGTCGCGATCTTAATAATTTATTGAAGGTACAATTTTATTTCTAAAGAATTTTATAGATTTAACAGAAAACATCATTGTATTTCTTGGACATCCGTTTTATTGATGATTATTTTGTGTTTTGTAGATGATGACTCACCCTGATCCGCAGATGAGACCATCGGCAATTAGTTTGACACAGCACAGAGTTTTACTTCCACTCGGGAATAAAACTAAAGCGCAATTGCGGAGAGAATTAAGTTTGGAGAAATTAAAAAATGAAATTTTAACAAAGCGATTAAAGGATGCGGCGATATTTCTCAAGAATATCGCGCCAAATGTCACTGATAGTTGTGACAGACAGTTACGACCAATCACTATGCGACCTCGCCTCATAGGTAAAAAGATCAATCGTAGTAACAGCACTATATAGTGCTGTTACACTATTATAATGCTGTAATAAACAGCATTTGTATATAATGGAAGAGTATCAATGTGTATGACACCTACGTTGCTTAATGGTAAACAAATTTTTGCATTTAAAAAGCGAAAGATTTCGGCTCTGGATCCTCGATTCGGTATTTCCTACTTACACATGATACTTTTCTTCTCGCTCATACGTCTACGATACTGTAGGTCACAATTATCAGTGACATTCGAAAATATCGCGCCGTTTAACCGTTTAGTTATAATCATGCTCATTACTGCGATAGTTCCGTTAAATCTTTCTTACGGATGTCGCAGCGGATATAAACTATTTCCTCGTCGGAATTGTAGTCGATTGAATCCTAATTTATCGAAAGTAACTTTTTCCTTGGATATAAAAATGCTTTATATTCTATATACATGGTGCACCAATTGTGTACTGTTAGCATGTACTTTCAACATTCGACATGTTTCAAAATTACATTTAATTTCGATTTGCATGTGCTCAGAGAAAAATGAAAAAAAGCGCCGGACATAATTTACTCGGAAAGATTAAAAAAACAATATCGATAGAAAGGAGGAAGAAGGGAGAAAGGAACATATTGCCTACCTATCGATATTATTAATTTCTTACCCTATATTGCCAAAAAAAATCTTTATTCTCTATCTTTTAAGACGTAATTTAAGTATATCTATAGCGCGAAATCTCAGGTTGACAAATATATTTTTCTATTCTACTACACAACATTTTATATAATATGCTGTTTATTACTTAGGAGCTCTAATCGTCTGGGTCTTTTATCATCAACATCATCATTTGTAAATGAGCTTGCATATGACTTTAAAATTATTATTCTAATTGTATGAAATTTATAACATATATCTATATTAATGATTCATAGTTTTCTATTACAAACAGAGACAACTAATTATAAAAAGTTTATGTGAAACATTTAGACAACAATTTGCTGCTGTACTGTTATATTCGTGCTATAATACAAAATTATTGTTTATTATTTTTATCAGTATTTCAAACTACATACAATAATTAACTTTTACTGATTGAGACTGCAAAATGATATTTTATCAAATAATTTTGCTTGTATCTAATATTTGAGTCCAAAAAGAGTATTATCTCTGATTCTGTTAATGATTGAATAGAATAATTGGTTTATCACAAGCATGACTTAATATTCTCTCTAGCATGACGTTCCATTAAACAACAAAAAATATAAAAATTAAATTTAAATTTTACTTTGATACCATTTTAATAGCCTTATTTTTTTATCTTCCACAACAGGCACTCAAAAATTCGTATATCTGGTCATACATATATATATATATATATGTATGTATGTATGTATGTATGTATGTGTGTGTGTGTATGTGTTTGTATGTATGTATGTGCGTGTGAATGTGTGTATGTACGCATCTGTACGTACATACATACACACACATAATAATCTATGTTTATTTCTTAGTTTATTCAAGATTATTAGCAGATAGGTGCTATAGTTATTACAAATAACTGAACAAAAAGACATAAAAAAATTTTTTTTAGTTTTAAACCGGTACCTATCGTAAAATTTTTATAAGTTTTTGAAATGTGTTGTGACAGGCACGCACAAATATTATTTACATGCGTTAAGTAACATTTCTAATTATGAATGAAAGTTAATCGTTTTCGACATTTACATTTTCTACGTCATATTTTGCGCCATTAATTATTTCATTAAAGTCTCTTTTCTCGCAATGGAAACAATCGCAAGTAATAGATATAACAAACGTTTGTTACTCGAGTAAGGATACATTGAACATTTTGCCGAATTTCACGATTTCCCAAAGAAAATGTTACCTTTACAGTTTATTACATATTGATTTAAACGTTACTGTAAACCTTACTTTATAATTTACTAAGTTGTGCTAAGATGAGCTAAAATATTTTGAATTTTTGGTACTAACAAAAGGAAATGCGACTTATTGACTATTTCTGTCTTTTTTGCAAGCATGAAATAAATCGTACAAGTATAAATAATTAATATACGCGAGACAATCTTCTTAAGAATGGAATCTTAAAAAGAAATCAGATATTCGTTAAATGTAATCATCATTGCTAAGCATTGTAAATCAATATATAAACTTTCACTTTTAATTGTAAAATTATACTATTCAAATCAATGTATTTTTCTTTCATATTTGTATAGATATTAATTGATAAGAAACCTTTATTACACTTCATGTTATAAAAAGATACAAATTAATAGTATGATGAATATAGAATCAGTTAATTTTTTATAAATGATAAATGAAAATTAATTGATGTATGAGAATACAAGTTATTGAAATTTGTATCATTTTATGTTCTGATATATTTTTACTGTAATATCCTAATAATTCTTGCTGTAGTATGAATTTGTTTATGCTTACAAAAGATTAAAAAAATAATAAGTCGCATATCATAAGTTTACCTTAAGATCTTATAATTTTTACTGATTCTACTGAGCATAACATGCGAGTCAATTTGAGTTACATTACTGATTAGATCTGACGTATTCTGCATTTTTTTTGTATGATATCTCCTATTAGTTTGTAATTTTTCTTTCTTTTTTCTGACGTGATGACAAGATTTACTAAATCTTGTGCTCATTTATCGCGGGCGTACGCGAATGTGATTGACACATGTGAAAAGAAACTTTGCGAGAATAATCGCAATTAAAAAACATTCATAGTCTAATTTTGTGTCTAATTTTATAAGTCGCTATTATAATTATTTAAAATAGTTATGTATAGCGTTATGTAAATTATGTATAGCATTATGTAAGTTATGTATAGCATTATGTCACTTATGTATAACGTTATGTAAGCATATGTGAGTATCTTTCTTAACGAAAGAGGAAACAAGTGCCGAAATATACATGTGCCAGGAATAGGGTGGACCTTGAACTAGAATATATACATGCTCGTTTAAGCATAAATTGTTTGATTGAAACATTTAATATCATTAATTGTATTATTTATATTATTTCTTCGGTTTTTTGCATCCATCAGGTCCACCCTGTGGCTTCTGAACCCACAGGATGGGCATACATATGATACTCTTATGATTCTTCTTATTATTGTTATTATTATGATAATAAACAGGCTGTTATATGTATATACTTTCCACTATTATAGTTTCTATCGTGTAATTACAAAGGATAATACTTTGCGCTTTGAGATAATCTAAAGTTTAATTTGGATAATTTCAGTGTTAGCAAAAGTGCTACCTCGTATACAAATTAATGAAGTCAATTTGTAGGAATTTGTATAAATGTCTACAAATTTTTAGTGTGGTTCACTTAATTTCAATAATATTACATTAGTATACACTGTGATTTTTGAAAGTAATTGTTAATGTTGTATGGTTTGCATTTTTTTCGCTTGTCGTTGAATTTTCTCATATTCTTTCTCTCATTCTTTAAGTATCTTATTTGAACTTGAGATATAAGTTATTTTAAAATTGATGGAAAGAAACATGTATTCTAAAATTGCGTAACATCTGAAAGAGAGATAATTTAGGCATATGTTGTATTATAAAACGAGGGAAAATTATTATTAAGAAATTTTTTACAAAATATATTTTGTAACAACATGTACAATCGTGGAAAAGGATTCAGAATAAAGTCTTTTCCCAGTAACAAATATTTTATACATATATCACGTATAAGATATACAATTAGACATTGAGAGAATTCTTTTTCGTCCAGAAATTTAAAAATATATATCCAGAAAAATTTTATCCTTTTTTTGAATTGGATTTTATTTTAATGGCATCTAATACTTAATATACTTATATTTAATATTAAAAATTTATCATATTGCAATGTAAAATATAAAATGTATATGATCAAATTTTTACAAAATTATAAATTGACAAAAGAATTTGGCTTTTAATTAATTTTCTTTTGAAAAATAAATAAAATAAAAAAAGTTAAATTACATTTTTTATATACATTTAAATATCTCATATATATATATATATATATATATATATAATAAAATTATAATATTTGAAATTAAATATTATAGACATTTCCTGATAGACATGAATTAATTGTGTTAAAACAGCGATATATTTTTTTAATTTTATGTTAACCTTTTGATTGGTAGAAACAGACGTCATATGTTTATCTTTACCTACGAATATGTAGCCACGGAAACATTTTATCTCGAAAATGACCAAAAGGAGTGTGGATTGTGGCTCGTAAAGCGATTAGCAATATTATTTTATTAGTGCAGTTTGTTAAGTGTGACAGAAAAATGAGAAAGCTCCTAAATTAAACGAGAAATGATAATATAATTCTTGCGAACAATACAATCGCCAACTATAATAACCTTCAAAGTCGTAAATAATTTCTGCATGCATTTAATTTATGGTATAATATGAATGAAAATTTCTTTTATATTGAGAAATTTATGAATTTTTTCTTAACTTTATGAAAATATCAATATTCTTGTTCTATTTTTTTTAATAGATATAGTGTAATACGTGGATATAGTACACACATGATGCATGTAACAAATTACATATAGTTATTAAATAAATAATAAATTTTGTATATAAAAAGAGCTCTCTTATTCGATCAGCACCACTTTCAATTCCTTAAATATAGTTGTAAAAAAATTTCTCATTTTATAAATATTTACAGAATATTTTTTTATGCTTGTTTGTATATTTGCATAATGTTTTCACATATAGCACAATGAAATGATAGAGATGAAATAGTTATAGTTGCACAAAAATTAATGCTTCTGCTTCTGGACTTCATAATTTTCACAAAAATTTACTTTCTTTCATAGTATATATATATATATATATATATATATATATATATATATATATATATTCAACAGTTTTTCTTTCTAAAATAACATTTAAATAATTAGATATATATCTCATAAAATTGTTCAAAAATGTATACTGAATTTGTTTCTTGTCATTGTAATTTATTTTTACAAAATACATTTATACAAGTTGTTAATAAAATTTTTCAGTTAAGATTTTTCATGTAGCATTTTATACATTTTATTTCCAAAGATTTGGCTTTCACGCATGCTTCTTTAGGTAAGATTATTAAAAATAATTAACTTTTAAATAATATACATTTCATAAGCAAATAATTTTTGATGTTGCAAAATTCTATACAGTATAAAGACTACATGCATTTTTCTTCATTTAGGTATGTTTAGAAATAATCTAAAATGTATATAGAATCAACTCGTATTAATCTACGACCAAGAAGGAAAACTAATCTTCTCTATCGATATGGATATGTTCTCTTAATGCTCATTTGCATGATATTTGCATCTATTCAACCACAAATTGGTGGAACAAATGGTAATTAATTTTTCAATTCTCGATATTAAATTTAATACAATATTTAATATTATAGTATTGCATTTTTTATTGCAGGTATAATCAATGGTAATTTTATCATTCGCTATATTGCTGTGCCTTTGACATATTTTGAAGCTGGATTATTGTGCGATCCTAAGTCTCTTTATTCAACATTAAGGGATGGCTATCTTCTGACATTTGTCATGACTTTCATATATATTTTGATGCCCTTTTTAGCACGCATAGGGACCTATTTATTGACTTATGCAAAAGTTAATGTATGGTTACTCAAAGGAATGGAGGTGATTAAGAACATTTAACTTATTAATTATTATTAACACAATGTGTGGACCAAAGAGATATTGTATTAAATATAACTGTATGATATACAAATATTATAGTGAAAAAAAGATATATGGCAATTATTATTAATTATTGTATCTTTTTAATCTTTTTTAGGTGCTTTATTGCATGCCACCACCATTCACTACAGGACTTGCTTTATGCCGTTTGGCACAAGCTGATCTGCCTACAAGTGTAATTACTACATTGGTATCACATTTTGGAGGATTATTTTTATCTCCTATTTTACTATATCTTATGGTAAAGTTCATACTTTTATATAGGAATGATAGTTCTTTATTTTTATAAATTTTTTCTTTTAGAGAAAGAGAGAATAATATTATATACTATATTTTCCTTTATTATTATTTAAATTCACTCAATTTTATATATATATATATATTATTTTTTAACTTAGCATATATATATTTAAATTAAATTAAAAAGTTTATTTTAAAGTAGCTATTTAAAAATTTTACATTACTAATTTTTTTATAACAGTTAGGAACATCTACTCCACCACTGGTTGGGATCAACATCAGGGAGACCATATACAGCACACTGATTCCATTAGGCATGGGTATCATGCTACGGTCCTTTATATTGAAAGACAGATATTTGAATGTTAACACAGGATGGTTTTCCCAAGCATTATTGTTAACAATAGCGTACCACTGGTTCTGCGATGCTGTTTTGGCAGATGCTTCATCGTTACAAGCAATAGATATACTGTTCTGTGTACTTATCGGTAAGTATATTTATTTTACATTTAATTTTCATATTTAAGGATAGACTCCTCATGTTATATATTCAGTTACATATGTCTTTTCAAGCGTGCTTGGGTCAGCTCCTTCTCAGCAGTTTATGTTGGATCTTGTGCTCTCAATGGTTGCCACGGAATATTTTGTTAGCTGCATTATTCACCAGCACTCATAAATCTGTTGGTCTTGGCGGTTGGATTTTACGAGGGGCATACCATGGTTCAATTCATGGACCAGCTGTGAACTTACCACTAACGATACTACCTGTTGCACAATTATTATTAGGTAGTTTGTTAGCCAGTTGGCTAGCTCCATAATAAAAAAATCTAGAGTTTTTATTATACTGTTTTACGATGTCCATATCTCAGTTTGCAGAGATATGGGTTTATCTTCTAGTCTTCAAATATAATAATAATTCTATGTATATTTTATGCAATATTTTTAATGCACCAGGATGTTTTATATCCTAAAAATTATTACAAATAAATTTTAGAAATCATATATTTAAATAAAATAAAGTTATATATAAAAGTTTAATGTAAGTAAATAAAATCTGGAAAAAAGTTTTAAAGGATTTTTAATTATATATATTAGATAAATTCAATGCAAAAATTATTCTTACATTTCTTCAAGTAATTTTATTCATTTATTAATGAAATTGTCTGGAATGATCGTATTTTGGAATGAGCAATTTTTGTTGAATAGTTAATTATATATAATATTATTACAACATTGTTATTGTGTAATTTGATACTTACCTTGAAACTGGATGGAATGGTTCGTGTGTAAGAATTATATATTGTTTTATAGTCTGGATTGAAAGAATTTATGTAAATGATGCGCGAAGTATCACATTGTATGATTTTCAGCAATCTAATTCATTGACATATATCTTTTAAAAAGAAACAGTAAGAATACATTGTACTCCGCATTATTACAAGAACCGTTTTAAATAGATACAATAGAGATAAAAATCAACAGCCAATCGAATAAAGTGTTGAGACTTATTCATTGAGTAATACAATATAATATAATCGCGAGTATCTAATCGTATCGTACAAGTTACAAATATAGTTTCCTTATTCTTCGAGTGAAAAATTCTGAATATCTTCGAAATTACAAGCTCCTACTTATCCTAACGTTCATCTAATGAACCTTTAAAACAACAAGAGTTAGGAAACGCACGGTTGTAGTTTCTACATACAAAAGAAGAGGACTTGAAAGTTAGAATAAGGTGTTTCTTTTTTTCCCATATAAAACATAGCGATTTTATTCTACAAATAATGGGGATAAATTTCGATTATTATTCCTGTTTTGGAAAGTTTTTGCAATTTTTCTTTTTCTTTTCTCTATTCGTGACGCGCCATATTCAGTATGATACAATATCATACCATTGTCGGTGCGCATGTATAGTATATTCAATAATATTAACAAATAGTGTAACATTCATGATAACGCTGATGAGCACGATATAATTCGATTTCTTCGTGAAAATCATCATGGCAATGGATGCATCAAACGGCGGTGCAGCAATGTAGGCGTAAATGCCGGGACGCATACAGTCGATCCGGGTGATCACGCTGTCGTTACATTTGACACCAAGCTCCTGTCACAAGTGGCTCCTATCCTGACGTTGACGCTGCTATCGCCGCCAGCTGCGCGATTCTCCATCCTCATCTTCTTCCTCCTCGTTCTCGTTTTCGTTTTCCTCTAAAAGTAGCGCCTCTGCCGTACCCTGGAAATTTAAAACTTGTTAAAATCTGTAGATTAGATAACCACAAAATATTAGAAATGGTCGTATTGAGAAGTAATAAGAGCATTTATTATTATCACAATCATTTGTATCAAACATTTTCTATAAAGAAATAGCACGTCTTGTACATAATTTCGTTAAAAATCCATGAGAACAAATTCTGTCTATTAAATATTCTCATAAAATCTAAATAAAAACATAGTTTAAATGTCTTTGAAATCTATATATATAAGTATATTCAAATTAATTTTTTTCTGCTATATAACTACTTTTATTTATATATAGACTATATTATTTATGGATTATTTAAAAAATCGTGATAGAATAAATTTTATTTTTTTTTTAAACTTACTTCCATATCGATATCTTCATCTATAATAGACGCAGTCTGTTCAGAACGCGACGAAATTTGTATAGATGTACTCGAGTTACTAGCAGCTCCTCCACGATGCAAATGGTGACCAGACACCCAAGTTATTGACAATAACCTATCTTGAAATGTGCGTCCTTTTACCAAGGCGACTTCAGCTTCCTTTCTCGATTTGAAATTTATCACGATTGAAGGAGTTGCATCGTCTACTATTTGATTCACTATTTCACCAAATTGCTAAAGTGGAAGAAGAGACATTTGAAAGTTAATTGTATGTATCACGCACTTGAAATATGTATATAATATTATTAATAATATATATATATATATATATATATATATATATATATATATTATTATAATGTATAAATCTTACTTGAAAATGTGCCAAGACCTCCGCTTTTTCCTCGGTTTCGTAACCGGAGACTAGAAGACTTGTTGGCCGATGATCTACCGAAACGTGAGCAAAACTTCCTCTACCACGGCCTCTGTAAGATAACGCGTGAGTACCGCGTGTAACTCGATTAGAGGCTCTCACGCTTCTACCAACAGTGGGATTCGCGTTCAAACCTAATGCGGCCGCTTGAGCTCGAAGTTCGTTCAGTCTCTTTTGCAGTTCGCCGGCATCTTGACCCTCTTGTTGCGCGGTCATTAAATCCAACTCGGCATCCAGTATCTCCTTTTGAGTTTGCTCTCTAGATTTCGATTTATTACCACCGATTTGACCGTTCGCGGCTAGATCCTTACGTAGATTATCAACTGATTGCTGCATAGCCTTTATCGTTGGCATTATGGAATCTTTTTGTTCTGGATTCTTCTCGGCCTTGTCAATCAAAGCGCGCAATTCAATTAGATGCTTGTCTAATAACTCTTGTTTTCTTTTACGTAAATCGGCGGTCAGTTTGATTGCCTCCTTCCGCTTTTCTTCTTGCTTCTTCTTTAATGTTTCCTTAGCTGCTAATATCTCTTGCGTTTTCTTTATCGCAAGAACCTTGTCTTCTCGAGTAGGAACGACGGGAGCTTTAGGCGAGGATGGAACTAAGCTCTGCGTGACTTGTTCCTCGGTCGCACGACGCGTGGGAACGTATTCGTTATCTTCAGCCTTTGCCGGTAGTGTTACAGCGGCGCCCAGCCTCTCTTTCACAGAAGGGCGACATCCTGGAGACAAGAAATTTTATTATTACATATCATATCATATCTAGAATATCTATTGTACAATAATAAAAGTATACAAAATCGTCTCTTACCCGGTGGCACGTTTTCGATAGCTCCAGCAGCCGCATTATTATTAATGTTATTGTGCCAAAATACTTTAATAAATCTATTATTCAACACAGCCTCTGTGCTTCTATAAGCGGCCTTTGCTTCGGTTGGCAACTGGAAGGTAACCAATGCTGCCTCAGGATCACCACTAAAATTTACTTGAATATTTACAATTTTACCAAATTTGGAAAAGTGGTTATTCAATTGAGTTATATTGTTTAAGGTTCGTGGAACTTTTTTCAATTCAAGAGAGCAATTAGCCGGGTTATGCGTTGCTCTCTGTTTCGGTCCCAGACGACCAAAGTCAAACGATTGTTTGCGTTTTGGCGGATTGCTTTGGGTATGCGTTATTTCTGACGAGTTTGTATGGGGAATAACTGGTACATTAATCAGTTCTCTTTGTCCTCTGCCATAGATCCCAGGTGCAGGTTGTGTGTGTCTACCCCATGCCATGCGTGGCTCCATGCTGGGTGCATCTGGATTATATTCTGCAAAAGCATCTGACATATTTTAACTAGTTATATTTCAGATAATATAAAATATTGCACTTATAAACTAGAATGCCATAATACAAAATTGTAATTTTATATTCTCCATCTCTTTCTTGTCTAATTTATCAAATATTTTACTTTATCGATATTAATTCTAATTAGAATCATAAAATTTTACACACATAAACATCTTTCACCAAAATTTCAAATTAATTGCAATTGAAAATTGCCAATCTAAACGTTTTTACAATTTCTCATTTTAATAAAGATTATGTTTTTCTTTTTTTATTTTAACTAGTGATACAATCAATATAACTGTTTTCGAATTATTGTTTTACAACATTACACATTAATGTTATAAGATAAATAATTGAAACTAATATGCATTTTATATATAGAAATACATACCCATATTAGAATGATGGTTTCTTAAGTGAGGTGGTGGTAAAGTGGTAAGAGGAAGATGCTGCGGTGGCGGATTACCGTTAGGACCCTGTGGTGGTTCTGGTACTGTATTCACTGGGACTGTTCCTGGAGCTTGAGGGCCATGTGGTGTAAAAGTCAAAACTCGACTTAACGACACATCTTCTAAAACTACTGGATCCGTACCATGATCATAAGGACAAAGATCTCCTCTCATGCAATATCCTTTCTCTATTAAAATATGAAAAATGTATCGATTAAAGATAAGATCTGATTAACTCGATTATTTAAACAAAATTAAATAATTGCTATTTAATATCACTTTTGGCGATATCGAAAATCGCTATTCTCGTTAACGATTTAAAAGACAACATAAGATAGCTTTCTATTTTTAATGTGTTCGACGTACATACCGTCGAAATCTCTGCAACGTTTTTTTGTTTGTTGTTGAAAAGAACCTGTTTGGTTATTTGGAATATTACTCGCAACAGAGACAACACTTTGTATCGATTGACTAGTTGTAGATAGCCTCATGTCTACATCTCCGTGATTACTATCTTGAGTTGGAGTACCACCACCAGGACTTGCCTCGATTCGATCCATTCTATCTATCTCTATTCTCTCGAAACGATCGATCTTTTTCCGTTCCATTGATCTAGAACGCGATCGCGATCGAAGCGGAGTTGGAGATCTATTCCTGAATCTTGCTCGATGGTCGCGATTGTCTGGACCGTCGCGTATCCTAGGTCGTATCGGTGATGTACTGCGACTTCTAGTACGTCTAAAAAATAAAAAAATAATAAAATGTCTGAGAATTGTTTCAAAACTTTCTTTTTAAGAAAATAGAATTTAATAAAATGTTAATTAAAAAATAATTGTTTAGTCAAATAATGATTTGATCTATTTAAATATACTATTTAAGACCATTATATATAAAATATTTATATGAAATACTTTTATAAAATATTTACTTATATTTTTAAGAGTGTAATTTCTTCAAATATTACGAATATACATAAAATATACCTGCGATCATGTCTCCTAGTATTAATAGGTGGAGATTCATTTCTCCATGGTCGACTTCTATCTCTTTCTCTGTCGCGGCGAATGTGTTCTCTACTCCTGGATCTGCGTCTATCCCGTTCCCAGGATCGAGAACGTGATCGTGTTCTTGATCTCATTCTGCCACTTCTATATTGCACACAATATAATATAATTAAAATTTCAATCTATTAAATTTTATTATATTAAAGTCTAACATATCAAACAGAAAAAATTCTTTGTTTTCTGTTTTTGTTAGCTTTTCTTGTCATAATCTATAATACATTGTTTTTTCATTTTTTTAAAAATGTAAAATAATTAAATACCTGCTTCGAGAACGTTTTCTTTTTTCTTTATCCTTATCTGAATCAGATTTTTTAGTCTCACGTTTACTAACTACAGCAGACGCGGATCCATTGATTTGAAGTGGAGCAGGTGGATTTGTAATCATAGGTACTAATGGAATTGTTGTATCTAGTATTTTTTCTGTTGATGATACAACTGGTGCTGGTGGATTTATCCCAGGTGGTGTCCCACCACCATCAGGATCACTCTTGGATGGTGGGAGAATATATTCCTGAGTTTCCAATGTTTTAAACAGCAATTCCACAAAGTTTTTGGTTTCTAAAAATAGCAATTTTAATACATTTTTAATCATATCATAAAAAACAATAAATAATTAAATTTTTAACTTTTATTACTGTGGTGAAATGTTATATATAAACATACCTTGCTGTAGAAATACATCCAATTGTTCAACCATGCCACCACGTAATTCTGCCAAAGTCTTATCTTTTTTGACCAATGCATAAACATATTTAGCCAGAGCAGCAGGATCTGCATCGCATCTAGTAAAAGAAAATAAATTACTTACTGTACAAAATAAGTTAACATATATTTGATAAACTTTCAAATATTATCTTTTTTATTTAAATGTAATTTAATTCATCAAATTATTAAATATTAAAATCGAAAACATATTTCAAACATTATAAGCTAGCATTGCATTGCATGTTAAGAAATATTTGATTAAATGTGCTTTACATTTATAGAAACAAAATATATGAATTATAGTAATTTTATATTTTTTAAAGTACACATGCACTGCTTAGAACAATAATTAGAGAATTATTTCTTTCCACAACTTTGTAGAATAAATCAAATGTCAGAGATTAGTGTAAAATTAAAGTATAATGTTTATATATAAAGTTCGCTCATCATCAAGATTGAAATAAAGTTTCATTAAACATTATCTATTAAAGAAATATTAACATTTGATAAAAAAATCTTTTAATCCTCTTAATCAATGTAAAATGTATTAAGCTACAGTCATCAAAAGTTAGAAATATCAATATTTTCATTGCACAGTACAACACACATTTGTCGTACATCAAGTACTATGTATTGAAGAAAAGATCAACAAAGATTATTCATATTCTAATCTCAAGATTTACATGCTCGTGTGTAATCAATGTAAGATCGGTAAAATAAAAGCTACACGTTACAAGAAAATTAAGTTAATCGTTAAATTTGTGCAAAGAGGCTGCAGGGTCCAAAGAGATGAACACGACTGGTCGAGGAAGGGGTTCATTCTGTTGGTCGTGTCTCTGGCAGGGGGTAACAAGTCTCTGGCGGAGTCCTCGATGTAAATATCATGCCACACGCGGAGGTGCATAGCGCATCACATGTACGGCCATTTACAACATCAAACGAGTACAGATACACATATACGCGTAAAGATACACTCTCGGGGGGCAGCCGAAGCTGGCCTACTTACAGCGGCTCCAGCACAGCGGTGAGCCACGCCTTGAATTGATCCGGGTTATCGATTATCATTTTCTGCCTCTCGCTGCGTTAAGGGCGCATAGATAACTTGGTGAGCGTACGTCAATTTTATGAACTTCGAGGAGCGACAATAAGTACCCTCTCCTAAGTAAAGACGGTCGCCATTCTAGAAATCAGTCGCTGTTAAACATGTAACAGTCACGCGCATCTAGAAGTCGCTCGACGTTCTGGAAAACGTCAGTGGGAAATGGTGGGAAACAGCTGCTGCCCCGTCGTGGATTTAGAATTAAAGTTAGATGTCGCTAATGACCACTAATAGATAAAGTCCCTAGAAATAATATTTCTATTATATCAATATTATATTATATTATTATATTATATATTAATGTCATAATTATATAAATTATTATATTATTATATATTATTATATTATATTATATTATATTAATATTATATTTAATATTTAATATTTAATATTGTAAAATATTTCTATTTAAATTTTTAGGGACCCTACCAATAGAAACTTGATGTAACGTTTGATGGAATTTTAGGCTGATTCTCGTGAATTTTGTCGCTGCGACAAGTCGATCGTCTTGACCAATCAGCTTTTGCCATTTGCAACGAGCAATCTGGACAAAAATCTGGTTCATGTCATATGTATGTGGGTTTCTGTGAATTGTTTTACAGCATCCTTCATTTACCCGATGATAGAAAGATTCGAGAAAGATAAATATCCCATATTTTATATGATGTTTTATCATTTCATCAGGAGAGTATAATTGCGAATAATAAAGATATAATGGATATTGATAACGCTGTCGCCAAAGCGGAAAGTAATGTAGTAAGTTTATACACAAAAATAATGAGAATATAATTTTGAGATATTTAGATACGATAATGTTCGATTTTCGTAGATGCCCGTTCCAAAAATAAAACATGATTGGTATCAAACGGAGACACACGTTATCGTGACAATACTCGGAAAGAATACGGAAAATGTGAAAGTTGTATACGAAGAAAATACAGTACGTATTTAGAAGCTTACTCTTTTGTTAAAATATAAGGAATTAATCTGTTTATTAGGATAAATAAAAAGTGCCTTAAACAAACTGCATCTTATGATGATTGTATGTGAGATATAATAGTTTGTTTTATATTATTTTCCAAGCGATGCTTTGGTATTCAGCTGTTTTGGTAATACTCAAAATACCTGAATATTGACAGCTGTAACTTGCCTGTAATTTTTATATTTATAGAATATATTGATGTGTGCATTACACAAGAAAAGCTAACATTTTTAAATTAAGATTTAAATTAGTATTTATTGAGATATTTGTTTAAATTGCTTTTAACAAATTATTTTTCAGTTAAGCGTATCCGCAAAGTTGCCATCTGGTAACGAATATAGTTTAGAATTAGATTTGGCTCATCCGATAGTTGCTGAACAATGTACACACAAAGTATGGCCATCTAAGATAGAAATTAAACTGAAAAAACAGGATGATTTTAGATGGACAGTATTAGAAGGAAATCCTGAACAGAAGAAAGTAAAACCTATACCAAATGGTAAATTATAAATCTTTATTGTAAATTTATATTGTCGTCAACATACTTCACATTCAATGACATTGTATACAAGCAAGTTTATGGCACACCTATGGGTTCCCCGTTGTCGCCAATAATTGCTAATATTGTTATGCAAGATCTTGAAGAATCAATAATTAATGAATTGGACATTGGTATTGGAATATATTATAGATATGTAGACGACATTATTATGGTGGCACCAAAGAATAAAATTGATAGTGTACTGAATAAGTTTAATAGTTACAATCAACGACTACAATTTACGATTGAATACGAAATTAATAGAAGCATAAATTTTCTAGATTTAAACATTAAAATAATAAATAACGTCATACACTTAGATTGGTTTCAAAAAAAGACATGTTCAGGTAGAGTACTATCTTTTTTATCGAGTCACCCTATGTGCCATAAAATAGGAGTAATTTATAATCTTATTAATAGGGCATTGTTATTATCTCATCCCATATATCATAAGAAAAATTTAGAACTGTGTATTAAAATATTATTGGACAACGGTTACCCTATTCATTTGATCTTTAAAGAAATAAATAAGAGAATAAGAGTTTTAAACAATGGACAGTTTAACAACAATAGAAAAAAAGAAATTGCAGAAGATAATAGCAAGAAAAAATTTTTTGTCATTCCATACATTAATAACATTTCTGAGACAATAGCATCGACAATAAAAAAATCAGATTTCAGAGTAGGATACCGTTGTCTAAATAATCTTAACAAATTTATTAAAGTCCACAAGGACAAAAACGTGCATAACAATAATAATAATGTTGTCTACAAAATTAATTGTAAGGATTGTGAAGCTTCGTATGTTGGGCAAACCAAAAGAAAATTACGCACTAGACTAAAAGAGCATATGAATAATATTAAATTTGATTCCTCCAAGCATTCTGTGGTCTCTGAACATATTATAAATAAAAAACATGCTTTTGATTGGGATAACGTTAAAATACTTGATATTGAATCTAATTATTATAAAAGACTTATCTCGGAAATGATACACATCAAGGAACAAAGGCATGGTATAAATAATAACACAGACACCGAATTGCTTAACAACGCGTATTTCGACATTCTAGAAGAAATATCGAATTTTTAGACTTATGTAAATGTTTATTTTGTGAGATCTGACACCTATTTATTCGACTTTTTAAAAGACTAGACAACAGTCAAGTACTAACAATAAGGCCAACAACAATTAGAAGCATCGTCATCTCAAGTTATTCGGAACAATTTGTAAGCATAAAGGTTCAATATTTTAGTATTTAGTTTAATTTGTAATTTTTAATTTTTTTACATACACATTAGTGGAATCCTATTTTACAATTGAATAAATTCTCTAAATTCAGTTAACAAATATCAAATAATTTGGAGAAGATGGACATAATCATTGCCAGATCGAGGGACTTTCGTCAAATAACGATAAGTGGTTCGTTTGGAGCAATGTATAAGTGTCACTCCGAGTTTTTATTAATAATTCTAAAATATTTTATGAATAACCGGACGAATCATTCTGCTTCTAATTGGGTTCTTACTTTGTTGAACTATTTTAATGGTTTCAATTCATTGTAAATATATTTTGCGTTTTAACTATGACTTAACTATATAACTTATATTGACTATGTATTGCGGATTTTTTTATTAGAACTTTATGTATGTATTTATTTATTATGGGTATTTATTATCATTATTTTTTTGCGCACTGAAGAGGAGCAAGTAGAGCTCGAAACGTTTGTGTAATTATTATGTCAAATTAAGAATTTTCTTCTAAATAATAAAATAATTTCGTATTGCTCGTTACACATGGCCTTAATTTAATAATTTATCATTGTATAAATCTTTAATTATTTTATACAGATATATTTTTAAATATAAATATAAAATTTCATGAAATAAAGATATAATGTCTGTTAATAGACAATATTTGACAAATATATATCTGAGATAATTTTGAATTTGATTAGGTACTTTATTTTTTATTTTGTTATATTTTATTTTATATTTCATTATTGATAGTAATATTTATAATCTTTGATAATATAACAAAACCTCAAATTTTTAACATATATTTCTAAACATGCTTCTATAATATCACTATAATTAATATTAAAAACAATTGTAAAAATATAATAATAGTGTTATAACTATGAGTTGTATAAAATTAACACAATATATTTTAGATTATAAATAGATATATATACACATACACACACATAGATATATAAAAGTTTTAAGAACTTTATTAAACTATAAAAGTAATATAAATTTACTATATTTTTGTTTATAAAATTGTTACGTTACAATAACAATGAATAATTACATATTTCTAAACTTATGTTTTGTTTAAGAAATACTTCAAGCTAGCCAACAAACTTCTAAATACCCAAGTTCCTGTAAAGTATACAGAGATTGGGATAAAGTAGGAAAGGAAATAGAAAAACAAGAGGCAGCAGAACAACCAGAGGGTGAAGCAGCTATAAATCTTCTTTTCCAACAAATATATGGTAAAGGATCTGATGAAGTAAGACGTGCGATGAACAAGTCCTTTGTAAGTAAATAATTCGTTTTTGATAAATTAAATAACAAGTTATTGCAGCATTGACAACATATTGCAATTTTTTTAGAATGCTATATATCAATAATATATATTTAAAAAACTTGATATAAATCTTTAAGATAATTTAAATTTTGCATAAATTAAATTCCATTCAATTCTAACTATTTGTACAAAATAAATATTGTGTTCAAAAATTATTTAGTGAATTTCTTAATTTTTTATTCTAAATTCTAAACATGACATTTAATCAAAACTAGTTTATTATATAAATATGTATATAAATTTTTAATACTTTCATAAAATTACTAGTATAAAAATAAAAATACTAGTATAAAAACAATATAATTATATAATAATGTATAAATATAAATAATATATAATATAAACATATTAAAAAAACCTTTTATTTTGTTATATAGTTAGAATCTGGTGGCACTGTTTTGAGTACTAATTGGGAAGAGGTAGGACATGGAACAGTCGAGAGAAAACCACCAGATGGAATGGAATGGAAATCTTGGGACTCATAATTCGTGTCATAATTTATACATTTTTAAACATCAGTTTTTCAGTGTTTCTCGTGTGCAATTTCATTCAACTTATGATATTCAGTATAAGTAATATTTTTTTGAATAATATTTCTTTTTCTATATATGTGATTCAATAACACAATAAACTAGTTTCTATGTTAAAAATTTATTTTATATGAAATTTATTATGAAATATATAAAATTATTAACATTTTATTTATAATTTTTATATTATATTTATTTAACAGATTACATCTACACAATTTTTACAATTATAATTAGTATTATACTATTTTGAACAAAACCAATGCTTATAACATATCTTACAATGGATTATAAAAAATATGGAGCAGTTTGCCTAGTAAAACAAATAGTTCTTTTATCTTACAAAAAACTTTACATTTCAAAATACATTAAATATTATTTTTTTTGTATTTCTTACTTTCAAATTCTATATTATATCTCTCTGTTATAAAAATTTAATAAAAAATATGTATCACTTTTATTAGGAAAAAAAAAGATTTTTATACAAGTAAATCTAACTGTTGTGTGAACAATTGTACATTTTTAATAAGTATTTGTTATTTGTAAAAGATATATGATCCACATGCATAAATACCTTTTTTAATATAACTTGCTCCTGAAATTAATAAATATGCTGAATACTTGGCAGAATCCACAAGAATATTAGATGAATTAGATTTATTATCATTCTCCTTTTCTTTGGTATTTGCATATTGATTAGAAAGCTTTGTATCAAATGAAAGCAATATTTTTTTAAGTTCAGACACTTCATTTGTGTTTTTTTGAACTAATGATTCATTCTTCTCCTGTGCTTCCTTTATGGTATTTCTTACATCTAGTATCCTTTTATTATTAAGTATAATTGAACCAACTAACGATACAATTGCTATTATAGCAGATGCAAGAATAGATAAATATTTAAATTTCTGTGCATTTAAATTTTGACTATCATGATATTCTTTGATAGCAGTAGCTAACTGTGTAAAATGATCACTCTCTTCTTTTTCTGATAAAGTGAGCTTCTCAATAATTTTATTTTGCTCTTGCAAATTCTTGTTCTCCATTATCGTCAAATGGACAAATTTAGGATCATCTCTCTTTGTCTGAACTAATTCAGCATAGAGTGTTTGCAATTTATGAGAAACATCTGTTAGGTTTCTGTTCAAGATCCTTCTATTGTCCTGACACAGGAACAATTTATCTTGAAGGACAATTACTTGTCTTTTAGCAGCTTCCACTGCATCTAATCCTGTTATTTGATTATACCATGACCACCACTTAACAATTTTTCCTGGCAAGTCTGTGCTTGGCTTCAATGCCTTGGCATTTAAATCTTGTATAATGACAGCCTGTTCATTAACTTTCTACAACATAAATGTAAAAAATTTATTTAAATAATAAATGTAGCTAAAATTTCACATAAAAATATAATTCTATGCATAAGAAAATTGAATAATCTAAATCTAAATGTGTTTCCTGAGATTAAATTGATTGTTAAATGTTGAGAATGTTTGTTGATGCGGGAAAAAATGTGAGTTGATAAAGATTTTTATTTAACTTACTATTATATATTTAATGCTTACTTTTGCAATGATATTATATTTCTCAGCTGCAACATTTTGTACACTGGAAAACTTGTTTTGCGCTTTTTCTGAGGTACTTTCAACAATTTCCTTTGCGTGATGAAATACCGCATACTTGTTGATATTTTTATTTATTAGCCTAACTAGTTGTCGGTAGCGTCCTATCATTTTAAAAACTATAAAATTGAAGTAAATCAAACATTATCAGATTACGCACGCTGGCATGCGAACATTTCTAATGAAATAAGAGAGCTAACCTAACCTCAATTCTAATCTTAACCCAGCGAAAATTTAATTTATCCTTATAAATATCATTGAGATTTTTTAATATTAAAAATCTTATAATTGGAAATTGTATATAATTAATTCGACGAATATTATTGCAATTAACTCGCTATTTTTGTATAATATTTCAAATTTCGTTTCTATGTTAAAGGACCACTGCGATTGGTCCGATGTTTTCGAGAATCGATATATCGTATGAATCTGACTTGTGATTGGTTCGTCCCGACACAATCGAGAATCACAATATCATCAGATCATAGAGTTGTGGCGAAAGACACGGTGATGAAGTGTTAACGAATCTCTCTGCATTTTTCACAATTTTTGCCGTCTAAAGTGAATTTCGCGACGCGAGAAGCTATCAGAAGTTTCTTTATAGTGTTCGTCATATTATAATTATTACGTACAGTCATTATTGCCTATATTAATGCTGTAATAATTTGATATTCGCGATTTCGATTGGAATCATCAGCTATGTAAGTTATTTTGTAATTAATTCTATTTATTTTGGCAAAATTTGTCTTCTTTTAATTACATTCTAATTATTTCCAATATTATTTCTAATATGAAAATATCTCGAGTTTTATTTCTACGCTAAATATAACAGCTTTACTCATTTTTTTTATTGTATTTTCTGTGCTAATTTTTTTTACTCTCTCCCCCCTCTCCTTCGTGTAATTCCTCCCCCTTTTCCTTCTCAGAAGGCGGGAAAAATTTTGTCGCCATTTTTTCTACATTATCGTTTCTAGAATTCAATGTTACCAAATGTAGGAGATGCGACTAACAAAAAATTAAGTTGGCAATTGTGACGTCGGTTCGATACTATCGATTACTATCGAGAAGCAAATTGCGATTCTCGAAGTTTTGAATTGCAAGAAGTTTGTAGAGCAACGAAACACATCACGGCCGATCGTGGAGTTGCACTTGTACGTTGCTGCATATTTTTCGCGATTATTTTTGTTTAAGAGTGAATTTTGTACGCGAAAAGTTATCGCAAGTGTTCGTAAAGTGTTAATTGTCACGTGAACGTTGTGTGCAATAACTATTAGTAATATATCACGATTTATCCGTGTTCGAATAAACGGACCCTTTCCTTCCCTCTATTCGAGCCGCTTTTTCTCGCTAAACAACGAAAACTACAATTGACATGTGATTTTCACATCAGGTATGCGCATATTATTTTCTATAATTGTGCCAAGCTATTATTTTTGCATATATGATACATATTTACATGTGTAAAAATTCTATATATATATATATATATATATATATATATATGTGTATGGGTATGTATGTATATATACGTACATATATACGTGTGTCTGTACGAAATTATGAATTTTTTGTCTGAAAATAATATATTTTTAGAATTAATTTTTACTGTTCGATTTTTCTATTTTATGCATATTTTCTCTATAAAATATATTTAATATGATTATTATTATTCCAACTATATTATTATAATAATTTAATAAATTATAAATTTATACATTAAATACAAAAATTATCTCTCAAGGTTCTTGAATTAGTTATATATACTAATCAGCTCCGCTTACATATTAGTGTCAATCGTAAAAACTTTACTCAGAATTGCGAATTTTTAATAATATTTTATCAATAATATATATACCACATGATAATGACGATCGTAATGCCGTAAATATGGCAGAACTGTTGGAAAAATTTTTGAATATCAATATAGTGTTTACAATCTTCTTCAGGAAGTCACAGAAAGTTCTCTCAGTCACGCTGACTGTTAGGTTATGATTGTCATCAAGAATTCAAGAGTTCATCTTTATATTTTTCCTATTACGTTTTAGTTTACATTCCATTTAGGTAATTTCCATTTGATTATTATATGTACTAAATATTTAATTTTAGTTTTTTAAATTAACTAAAATTTCTAAATTATTATATACTAGATGTTTATAAGAATTTAAAGCATATAAGAATTTAAGCATTGGGCAAATTTTATAATAAAATTGCCAAAAAAGATGCAATATGATTTATATATATTTTTCTGCCAGCTATTAATTAATATTTGATGTAATGAAAAAAAATGTTTTGTTGTGTTAAGCTGAGTATTTCAGTATAGAGAATTGTTTATTAGTGTCATTTATACAATGCTTTTTTATTAGAAAAACTAAGTATGATACTGCCTCATACAAATCAAATATATATTTGTGAAGAAATTATTTTATTTAATAGACACAAGAAAACTCCACAATGCAAAGAAATTTACGAAGCACCCGTAACAAGCCAATAATCGAAATATCAGATTCGGATGATGAAGATCATAAAGTGGTACCAAAATCAGAAGATGAAGACTACGCAATGGAAGATAGTAAAACGAAAAGGAAAATTAGAGAGAATAATAAGGAGTCAGTGAAGAAGAAGATAAAGAAAAGTACACAGGACAAAGTTGCTAAACCTAAAAAAAGAAAAAATCAAGAAGAAAACTTGAAAATACTTAAAAACAAGAAACTGAAACTAGAAGAATCATCATTTGCAGATTATTCAGATGCAGGAATATTAGAGCAAGATCAGAAAACTTCTATCAAAACTGATGTAAAGCAAGATATCAAAATTGAAGAAAAATTAAACTGTAGCTTTTCACAATGTACGGAATGGACAGACATTGATTACATAAGTGAAATCAATAAAGTAGATAAACATATCGTAAAGAATGTAGTACAGCTTTTTAACCAAGACAACACTATACCTTTTATCGCAAGATATAGGCGAAACAACACTGGATCTATGGAAGCAGATCAGTTGAGAGCACTTAAGGAAAGTTACGAGCAAGCAAAAATTATTAAGCAACGTGCTGCAACAATTTTAAAGACTATCGATAAATTAGGGAAATGGTCACCACAAATTCATTCTGCTATCACATCTGCAAAATCCCTTGCTGATCTGGAAGACATTTATGCCTTATATAAACCAACATCAAAACGACCTCTGGCAGAGAGAGCAAAAGAATTGGGCCTGGAAAGTATAAGCAATGCTGTTTTGCATGGACAGAAAATAACTCCACTGGTATCTCTGATAAATGAGCAAAAAGAAGGCTTGCGAGATGAACAGCAAGTGAGAAATGGTATTATATATATAATAGTGGATGTTATTACTAAGGATAAAAAGGTTTTTAATGCAGTGACATTCTTCCGAAAAAGATCTATCATACACATAGAAACGACGCAATGTAAAGCAGCAGAAAATTCGAATAACACAAACCAACAAAAATATGAATATTATTTTAATTTTAAATCAAAGGAGAATACTATTAAGCCACATCACATATTGGCCATTAATCGAGCCGAATCGCAAAAGATTATTAATGTAAAAATTATAGTTCCGGATACTTTCGAACACACATTCAAAAAATATTGTCTGTCAGAATACACACGTCAGCAAAAAGATATGGGAAATATTACAAAGTTGCATTGTGATTTACTTAGGGATAGTATTGATTACGCTTACAAGAAGGTGATTAAACCTTTGGTGATACGTAGAGTACGGAGTGAGATGAAGGAAAGAGCGGAAAAGGCATCTATACAAGTATTTGCAACTAATGTTAAACAATTACTGCTGACTCCTCCTGTACGAGGTAAAATTATTCTTGGCATAGATCCGGGTTATTATCATGGATGTAAAATCGCTGTTATATCGGAAACCGGAAATGTTCTTGAGACAGCTTTGATATATCCTCATAAAAATGATGCTTCATTGTCCATTGCGACTAATATTTTGACAAAGCTAGTGAACAAGTATAAATGCACGATATTAGCTCTGGGAAACGGTACAGCAAGCAGGGATACTGAATTGTTTTTAACAAATATGATAAAATCAAAGATGTTTGATTCATCGGACGTGACGTACACCATCGTTGACGAATCTGGAGCATCAATTTACAGTTGTAGTCTTGAAGGAAAGTCAGAATTTCCGGATCTCGATCCAAATCTGGTTTCGGCTATCTCGATAGCGCGACGTTTGCAGGATCCACTTGCAGAATTAGTTAAGATTGAACCGAAGCATTTAGGAGTCGGGATGTATCAGCACGACCTTCCTGAAAAACAATTGATAAATGCGTTGGACGAAGTAAGTATGAATTTGCTGTTTAATAATAATTAACATTTTGAATATTGCATAATATTTGCTTTAGACAAAATTAAAATATAATTATTAATAATTTTTTTATGAAGATGTGAAATCTTTTCTTTAGTAATTTTCAATTACTAATTAATTAGAGATTTAGAGATTTTAATAAATAATGCAATAGATCAATTTATTCTATTTTTATTAAGAAAAGATTATTGCAGGTCGTCACAGAGGCTGTGAGCTTTGTAGGAGTCGATGTCAATACAGCATCCCAGTGCCTTCTGGGAAGAGTAGCCGGTCTTACAAAATCTAGAGCTGCAAGCATCATAGAATGGCGAACTAAATACGGAGCATTTAGGAATAGAGAACAATTGTTAGATGTGAAAGGTATTGGCAAGAAAACGTTTGAACAGTGCGCAGGATTCATAAGAATTCGACCGGACACAGCAGTGATTGGCGAAATCGCGACGAAGGAGAGTAAAAAATTAAAGGAGAATTTTAATCTCTTGGATCAAACGTGGATTCATCCGGAATCATATGCGATAGCGAATAAATTTTTAAAACACTGCCAATGCAAGTTAGACAATCTTGGTACGCCGGCATTTATCGAACGGATAAATTCATACGCGAAAGCGGGATGTGCCAAATTAGCTGAGCAATTTGATATTGATGAGACTAATATGGAGATCATAATTAAAGCTTTGACCATGAAAAAGGATGAGGATATACGCTTAAAATCGAATCGTCCGTTGTTCCGTGTTGGCATTCAAAATATTCATGATTTGAGCGTTGGTATCATATTAAGTGGTGTCGTGCGAAATGTCACGCATTTTGGAGCCTTTGTAGATGTGGGCGTCGAAAATGAAGGACTAATTCATATTACACGTATGAAACAACAGACTTTGCATGTAGGCCAACATGTGGAAGTAAAGGTAATTAATCTCGATGTGGCACGCAGCAGGATTGGTCTTGAATTAATGAAGAAGTTTTAAATCGAATTGTTTTTTTCCAGAGTTACGATAAAAAGTTTTAGTTATATTGGTATGATAATACTATATTTTTTATTAATAATTTATGTTAGGAAAATGTTTTATTTTGCTCTTACTATATGTGTGTATATAGGTACATATAATTTATACTACAATTAAAAAAAATATAGGTATATAGGTACATATAATTTATACTACAATTAAAAAAAAAATATAATATAAAAAATAAAAATTATTTTTGCATTAATCTAATGTTTGAATTAATGCTTGACTTAACGCGCGAAACGCTTGTAATATAACATACAAAATGCTTATAATATCATCCAACTATTATATTATTAGTGTGATATTTATATTAAGTAAAAAAAGTACATTGTGTTAATGATAAGTATATCTTTGTAAATAATATTTCTGTTTCAGATTTGATTAAAAATGTTTTCTGTATTTAAGTTAAATATAAGTGCTATAATAAGTGACATATATAATTTCTCATTATATAAAAATATATACATTCCGTGCATATTTTACCGTTTTACTATTTTATATACTGTGTGTTATCTTATATTATTCTCTTAAATATATATGATTTGTGCCTATCTCTTATTCTTGTTGCATTATACAAGTTTCTCATGGGGGTAGTTTATCCTAGAAAAATGAATTCCGTTCTCTTTATGTCATGCAATGCGACCGTCTAAACCGGGAACTCTATATGCACGATTGCAGAGAGTTCGCAAAACGAATTCCAGTCACGTGCTAACGTGCCTTTTCCCCTGCTGCTAGCAAAAGTACGGTCGGCAACGATCTACAAGGGGAGTAGGGGAGGATGTATACCGCATTGGATGCTGCAGGAAGATTGCAATTGCGACAATCGCGGTTGAACCTCTTATTTTTCAAGCCGGATTTTCTTCTTCCCGCTATCATAAAATATTGATTTGTTAATTAATCAATTTATATTTATCGTGACGACAATAATAAAGTTTTGCTTATACTATTATTTAATAAAATATAAAATAAAAGATACGATTGGACAATTCAAATCGCAAAATTAAAAATTGATTAAAAATTATTATAAATATAAAAATAACAATATATTATTTAAGGCCAACTTATCGAGCTGAATATTCGAGATGTTCAGTCAACTACCATTTATTACATGTATAAATTATAAAACTACAGTCATTATATTAAAACTAACGCAAATTACAATCATTCTATAAACGTTTCGACCGCACGCGGTCTTCTTCAGTATAATTATTGAAATATAAATTCTTACAATTCACATAATATCGAAATTTAATTATAGTTATTCAGAATCAAGAGTTTTTGAGTAATTAACGCGTGTTTCAATCCGTCCTGTCCAACAATGTTCGCCTCGATATAATCCCTGATTTTGTTCAGATCTCGGATAGTTTAAAATGAGCTGTCTTTCTGTATTGTTGGTTTGTTATGTGTCATCCTTAATAACTGTTAATAAGTAGCAAAATTATCAAGAAGAACGATGATAGCGCCTACGGAACGGGTTAATTTCTCGCATATTAACGATGAAACTATCCGAGATCTGAACAAAATCAGGGATTATATCGAGGCGAACATTGTTGGACAGGACGGATTGAAACACGCGTTAATTACTCAAAAACTCTTGATTCTGAATAACTATAATTAAATTTCGATATTATGTGAATTGTAAGAATTTATATTTCAATAATTATACTGAAGAAGACCGCGTGCGGTCGAAACGTTTATAGAATGATTGTAATTTGCGTTAGTTTTAATATAATGACTGTAGTTTTATAATTTATACATGTAATAAATGGTAGTTGACTGAACATCTCGAATATTCAGCTCGATAAGTTGGCCTTATATTTATCACTTTGTTTTCAATATACGAGCGACAATTGTATTAATTTATTTTTAATATATTATTTTTATAACCAATTTTTTAGAGTTTTGTATAAAAAATTTAATATTCAATATTTTTATTTATTTATTTATTCATTTTTTTTACACAAAATCACTCTTTCATTTGGAGTACCAATTACAGGATATCGCCCTGTATACACGGTAGAGCGCAATTAGCAATGCAGCGGCGACATGACGACGGTTTTATTTCGTTATTGTATTCTCATACCTGATTATTCCCGAAACACACTCCTTCGTTTCACCTTGCTTAAAAGTTTTAGCATGCAATCTGCGAATTCTATCCCGCTATCGGGAAAGTTCAGGCGCATACCATTCCATTCCGTCCACTTTTGTCTCAAACCACGGCTACATTTTGTATGAGAAGTACACTATGTATACGTTGAATAGCTCGCTTTAGGTCGAATTTAAGAATGTGAGCGTACTTCTTGCGGCGAATCCGTATTTGGCGTTATTTCCGCAATCGAAGCAAATATCTTTCGCATTTTCCCTGTCACAATCTCGACGTGAATATGTATTAATTAATCTTTTCAGGCCTCATATATCAAATATGATATATAAAAAATTTAACAAAATTAGAAGATTGATATTTTAGGATAGTTTTAGAAAGTAGAGGGATAGCTTTTTTCTTGAATAATATTTTTAAATTTGATTAAGTCGACTAACAAATTGAAGTTGTATGCACATGATTAGAGAAATTATCTAAAATATATTTATTTGTATATTTATGTATAAATGTACTATATTATAAATATAAAAATATATTTATGTAATTTTCACATAAACAAAGATTCGTACAACGAAAAAAATGAGAAAATCCTATCATGGATGTGTGTATGTAAAATAATTTTTATGAAAATTTTTATTATAATTTAAAATTTTTGACTCTGAAGAATAAAAATATGAAAGATTATTTATTTGAGAATTAACATGATTAAATTAATATATGTACATTTAGTATAAAATTAAAAATTATTAAATGTTTTTCGTTAAATTAGACTATTAAATATCTAATTTAACGCCTTAAAATTTTCGATTTATTAAATATTTGTTAAAACGATAGAACTATTTGTGTGCAGTTTATGTTCTCATGCGGATATTAAATAGAGCTTATTATTCATGGAAAAATGCACACAACTAATTTTTTTCATGCAATCGAATAAATCATAATCGAAGTACTCACGAAGAGTAAAACGTATAATATATTGTAGGGAGGATATGTAATCCGGATATATATATTTGTGTGTATATGTGTGGCGGAGGAAAAACGAAATGTTCACTATATACAAAACAAATTGGAAAACGAGAACCATATGCAATAAAAATTGTTTTCGATTCTCTTAGATTCGTATATGAATTGGATTAGTATAAATCATACAAAAAATAGATTTATAATGATTCTTTACTAGAAACAAAATCTCAAAGAATTAAAAATGATCGCGTATATCATATTTTTATATATTTCTTAATAATTATTTTAATAATTTTCAATTTCACATTTGGAAGATATTTAATTTATATATATTTTTATTAATTATGGAGATGAGTAAATTTTGAGCTGTACCTTTTTGCAATCAATGATTTACATAATTTGCGGAAGAATTTATAAGATATATTTATATCTCAAATCTCGTTTCTATATATGTATATATTTTGTCTATTTTTGAAAAAATTTTGGAATTTATTTTTTAAATAAATTTTCCATAATATTTTTAGCGCATTACGTAAGGAAACTTTTTGATTGCATAGATTTAACCGACTAGTGTCAAGAGAGAGAAAAAGAGATCGCAGTTGTGAAATTGAAGATTCATTTATAAAATATAATATGATAAATTCTTTGTACAAAAAGGTTTCACTATTGGTTCGTATATTGAATATTGAATATCGATTTAACTTTGTACATATACCAACCTTGGCATTGAATTCTTCGAGTCTTCGTGTGCTCTTTCCACCGTATCTACCCTTTATTTTCCGGGATGCTTTTCATACCCGTCGTTTTTCTCCCTCTTTTCATGCGTTCCATTGTTAGACTAGACGCTTTGAAACTACTTTTCACCCTCGGGGATCTGTCTATTCGCGTAACCGAGTAATAACCTCGGGTATTTTGTTGTTGCCAAGCATCGAAGAGATTTTAATGTTATTTCGGCGAAAAGAAGATTGAAGCTTTTCATCTGAACATTGCAATTTTTTTATTGTCCTTATCCAGTAAATTGTATATCCATCTTTAATATCTTTGTAATTAATCTATAAATTATAGATATCTCTTTCTTTCTTTTTTTTATATATATAATATAAGGATTATTTGAAATTGAGTAGAGAATTTTCGCATTAAAGATTCTAAATTTTGGTCAAAAAATTCGTACAGAAAAAGTAGCTTCACGTTTTGTGACATTATAATTCGTATAATTATAGTTGTTACTGTTGCAAAGTATGACGTTATATGAGTAATATATAGGACTTAAACACATTGTACAAATTACATTTCTCGGGTGACTTTGCCACACCACAAGTCGCGGTTTCAAAGCGCTCTCGTCATACCGGAAAAGCTTTTTCCGCTTGCTTCCTTTACAGTCTTGCCATTCTGACAGCTTAAGTCCTTTCTTAGCCGAGTTCGCGTAACGCTAACGTACAACGAGATGTAATATTTATATCACCGGGAAAAATATTTTCGAGCCGGTGTACAATGTGCCGTTAGCTTATACTGGGTGATTCTAGAAACTGAGACGGGCTATAACTCTTTTCTTTTTAAAGTGAAGATAAAAAAAATGGTAGAGAAAAATTTTAGCACGGTTTAACGAGCTTTATCCTTTTACGATCCACTACTACTTCCGACGTCCTATTTTTTTTAAATTATGTGCAATGTTTTGTTTTCTTATAGTATATAATTCCTTCTCATATGCTACGTATAGGTATATGTAAAAGTATTTTAAAATATTTGACACAAACTGTGATACAATATTTCATACAAAAAATATTATTTTATTTTAAACAATTTGTTATTCCACGTTGCTATTTTCGTATCCGAATAACATGTGTCAATTCTCTTGCATTTGTATTTTCTGTTTCATATTTTCGTGCATTAACATTATTGCATAATGTTAGACGAGCTTTTCAGAATGTCCTCGACGAAATTATCAACCCGTCTTCCGGAATACGCGTCTACCGCGTCGGAGGTTACTTAATTTCAC